CCTCAGCCTGAACTTGTTGCACTATGGGTTAGAGAAGATAGAGATGCTGCTTCGTATGCTTCGTATTGGCTGAGATGCCTACCGCTATTAATATTGGACGCAACATCTTGTACTTGTTTCATCATCTCTATCTCGCTAATCTAATCCAGCTTTACACATCCATGCTCATGAGAAAACGAACTACTTCTACTTATCACCACTCTTTCATAAGTATTGATCGTTTTTGCATCGATCACCGATTTCGACCTGGAAGCCAACCCAATCCTATACGCCATTTGCACTTGGCCAATCTTGAAGTAGTTCGTTGCGTGCTCGCAGTCCTTGTGGCAGTAGCACACGTCGTACATCTTGTCATAGGGCCCAAACAGTGCACTTGGGACAGGCGATTCCAGTCCGAAACCCTTGAAATCTGCTCTCGACCCACCGTCCAGCGTGGCTGACGGGTGCGTCCTATTGGGCGGAAGTTCTCGCATTATTGGCGTAGGCCACAACCGATCCGGACTGTCCCATTTGCTGGTGGCAGGTAGATACACAGTAATGTTGGTGATCGTGGTCAGGTTAAAAACTGGAACCAATCCTTGGCGCGGGATGCCTGGCTCTGACGACAGGAGACTCACATCGACAACTTTTGTTCCGTCAATTATAGTGGTGGCAGAAGTCCCTGAAGTCCCTCCAGAACCATCCCCTACCAAACTAGCATTGCTGTCATTTGTTGCATTGGTCGTGTTCGACACATTGGAACCGTTAGTCCCTGTACCAGTTCCAGTACCCGATCCCGCTGTAGCGACAACTTTATACCACGCTGTGTAGTCCCTATTCAAAGCCGCATCCAATTCTTCTTGGCGCATGTCAGTACGGAAATCCTCTAGATATTTGTTTTCCGCCAATATGCTAGGGTCTTTAGGTCCTCCGCCTAGACTGAGCCACAAAGCTCCAAGTCGAGCACGCGTCCTGACTTAGAGTCTGCTAGAGTGCATCTCGGCCCCCTCATCTTGACCCCTTTTACCTTGTATTTCACGAGAAAACAAGGGAAAAGGGGACCAAGATGCCGAGAATGATGGAAAAACGCTGACCATAACTGAAATTGTCCGGTCCATAGATGCACTTCACCACCTCTCGATGCGTTTCGTTGTTCACTAGGACTTCTTGGCCGTTCACTTCTGCGGACATGTAATCCTGAACGGCCGGTTCCTCCGCCAAATCCGCGTCTGAGAAGCCAGAGACGCCGTCTGTTTCGTTATGGTAAGCCTGTAATGCAGACCGTGCGAGATCGGTCAGAACGCCAGCACTATATGCAGCCTCGACAGCTTCGGAAGTGTTGTAGGCGCAGCTGAGCACGTACTGGGTACCGCCAGCGTAGGGTTCCCGGTCGGTTGAGGCAGTGATACCCGAAGAAGTATCTGCTGCTCCTGTGACAGCAGTCGCCGCTACTGTAGTCGTGTCCGAAAACGTCGAAATCGGTCCAGTGGAGATTTGCACTAATGTAGTGTCGAATCCCAAGTGCATCATTAGGTCTACCAGCTGCGTTGAAACAATGAGCTCGAAAGTGACGGGGACGTTCCATTCTCGACATTGTTGCTCCACTTCCCACGACATCCGATCTGAGGTTTCCATGTTGTAGTCGAGGATTCGCATTCGTTGGGTAACGCCATTATCACACCCGCCTGGTGGGCAGAGGACGCGGATTAGAGCTACGAAACTTCACTACATGACTCCTACTTGCTCCCTTTTCCTTCCCCCTATTAGCCTCAGCTTTAATCCATCTTGGTCCGTCCCCTCATCTCCATAACTAGGACCGGTGATGATGAAAACCATCAACTTCTAGCCTTAATTTCAGCACAAACGGCTGCTGTGGCGTCAGCTTCGAGTAGGGCTGCCAACGCTGGTTGAATTGCGAATGCAGCACATTTTGGTAGCCGCACTGGTTGAAATTCGTTCGATCACAGATCAAAAATGTCCAAAACCTCATGTGTCCCAGATTCTGGATGTATTCGTACCCAGAATTGCATGGGGTAGGGTCGCTGTCCAACGGCGAGTCGTAGTTGGGACAGTAGCATAAAGTGATTGTGAACGACAACTCCTGGTCATCCCGAACTTGGGGAAAGTAGTAGGGTGTTGTTGAGTCGAACCGGTTGTGGTAGTTCCAGATATTAGTGACGTCCTGGGCTTCAGCAAACGTTTTCTCCATGCGTTGCTGCTTAGTGTAACTCGCTTCTACAGAAGCTGCGTTCCAGATATTTTGTTCCCACAAGATATAGGTGTTATCAATCGGCAGTGCGCACGGACGAGCCTCTGAATCCTGGAGCAAACCCTCCACTATCGCATCTGGATTCCACGCTTGGGTAAAGGAAATCTCCGAAACTTGGCCACTGTAGACTCGCCAGCCCGTCTGTGCCGATTAAAGCTTGCCGCAATTCATCTTGGAGAGCATGTTTGCGGTGTTTTCCCCGTAGGGAAAGGCTTCAGGATGAAATAGAGACAGGTGACCTGAACAGCCTACACGGCGTACCTACGTAACCAATGCATGTATATGCTAAGATTACGCGTCGTTTTTTCAAAATGAAATAGAGACGGCCTTAAGCTGATGGATCTGTTTTCGAGCCAGTTGTCACGTCGGTTTGGAAGTTCAGATTGCAAGTCGGGTTCGGAAAGCGATTATTCAAAGCCGGAGCGAGGTTTGTCTGATGCCATGGAAAATAGCAGTCCCACTGCATTCCGAACTCCAAACATCCATCACGGAAAATTCCATTCACGACATCACTCTGCGCAGGCTCGAAGCATTTTTCCGCCCATACGCCTGCAACGTACAGAAAAGGTAAGGAGTTCGTTACTATAGTAGTCGTATCGTTGAAATTTCCACTGGGGGCGTAGCAAAGTCGATACTCTCCGCCAATCTCGAAATGGAATTTTCCGGTTCCTCCTGCACTAAATTAGAAGACATCAGATTTTCGTGCTGACTTTTTCTTATGCCATCGTAGTTCTCTGCGCTGTACGATATGAGTGGTTGTCTTCTGCCCTACTAGTTCTGCACTGCGCTATAAGCAGCTACCCAAAATAAAGTAAGACTCATCGCCTATCTTTTCTACAACAAATACTAGGCGGATAGTCTACAACTCCTACCTAGCTATTGTGAATGTCTAGTCCTGCAAAAAATCCGATCAAATAGCCGTAACTATTACTCCCGCTCAATTTGTTGTAGCCGATGCTCAACGGCAGCCCCGCTTCCAGTGTGATGTCCGGCACGAAAAATTGAGGCGGCGCACTACTCCCGAAGGGCGGCTGAATATCATAGGGATTCATCGGAACCAAACTCGGAATATAGCATTGTGACGTATCGGTCAGAGATGCTTCCACTAGTTTTACCCTTGGATCCGTATGTTGATTCCCAGGAAAACCGAAAGCAACTGCGTCGATAGAAACGGTGCCATAGGGATAACCGGCGACTAGAGTGAGCCGGTCCGCGAAGTCGAGAGACATGGGCGCACCAGAACCAAAAGCGTTAGGATTCACACCGGATTGGGATGAGAAAGCAATTTTAGTGCCTGCAGGAAACTTCCACTTCCCGTCCGAACGGACTGTCACAGTTTGCTGTAACTTTCGATGCTCAGCCGGATGATCTTGTTCTTGATCTACTATTTGAATTTGTTTTTTCTCCTTCTCCTGCTTGACTCCACTATCTTCGGATGTCACTGACTTTTCATCATCCCTCTCCGACGTTCCTCCATCATCCCTCTCCGACGTTCCTCCATCATCCCTCTCCGACGTTCCTCCAGCAGCTGCTACAAAATAACGCAACTGGAAATGACTGCCCAAGAACAGCACAGCCAACGCGGACCACACGAACGGGCCTCCTCTCCATTTTCTAGTATCTTCTGGGAAGCGTCTTCTTCTCGGACTTGGTGGTGGCTCACGATAGCGGCCACCACGATAGCGTTTCCTCTTATCAAACATCACGACCGCAACCCATCCACCAGGCAGAACTATGGTGCGCCTCTCCTTTCCTCCCCAGAATTTTCACGACCACCTGCTCCTCGTTTTACAACTTTGCCAGGTCATCGGTGACCACAGCCTGATGATGGAGTGGTACGAAGGCAGGACGTGAAACCCCGAAGTGTTCAGTAGTATGACGTGTGGTAGACTCGACGTTTCGTATCGTAGTATGTCCGATGTTATGAAGGTAGTATGCACACGACGCGACCGTGGATGGTAGGACGAAGATGCGAAGACAGACTTACTGTTGCATGCACTGGTACATGTTTTTCATGACACTTTTCTTTGACATACTGTGGGCAGACTTCACTTGTGTTTTTTAGCGCTTGAAACCACGCAACATACTCATACTATAAAGTCAGGAACTGCCATCCAAGTATGACATGACACATGAACAATCCATCTTTTTTCAACTGGATTCCATGTTGGCCTACACAATTACATAAATGGCGCGATGCAGGCTGGCCGTGCATTCATGCAAATCCAAAGCTAAACCTCACTCAGTATTCCTCAACACTCTCGCACAGCTTATTGCATCTCTCCGGTCGCTTTGCCTTCAAACTCACCTAGTACGATCTCTCCTACCTTAGATGCTCCTTCCACTCTAGGAATCTCTCAGCACTTCCCTCTCAAGGTTTGTTCGTGACGGGGCTCACCAATGTTCGCTATCGCTCCATGTATCTCAGTTACAAGTGTATCACCTTGGACTAGATCTTCTTGTGCATTATTTGCATGCGTGCTACAGACGTGACCACATTTTTTCCTCGATCAGCCTAAGTGCGAGGCAGCACTTTTCGGACTGTCTCGTCCTGTCAACCTCGCACATGCGATGCAACTGACATCCAAGCTACAGACGAGTTCGTCTTTGCTTCAACACTTTCATGCACAAGCAGAAAGGCCGCGCTGCGTACGAGTTCGTCTTTGCTTCAACACTTTCATACACAAGCAGAAAGGCCGCGCTGCGTACGAGTTCGTCTTTGCTTCAACACTTTCATGCACAAGCAGAAAGGATATGAAGCAACAGTTCCATGCTTTGTTCCATCTCCCTGTCCTACGATTCCACCTTGCTAGCAACAACAAGGAGTTCTCAATTTCAACCCTTTATGACCAAACCAAGAAAGCCGTACATAAAGCATCCTACTGCATACTACAACAACATCCTCACCAAGCCCAACACCTTTCAACAATCAGCCATCATTGTTACTCAAGCGGTCGATCATAGCCTTTTGTTCCCGTTCGACTTTTTCTAGACTCAAGTAGTGCGTCTGTAGTCTGGCCAGCTCAGCTTCCTTGCTTGCGATCAGTGCACGCATCTGCTGCTGTTTCCTTCGTCGATTTTCACTCTCCATCTCCGCCATGTTTCTCTGGCCAATCGCCCTGTGGTAGTACGTAGTAGTAGTAGTAGTGTACCCATTCGAGAGGTGTAATGTTTAATTAATTGCTGAGAAGCAGTACAATACAATACAATTGTTCTCGCTTTTTTTTTTTGTATCGTGAGCGAGTTCCGATAAATCAAAACCTACCTGCGTATTTTGCAAGCGAGTTCCGATAAGTCAAAACCTACCTGCGCATTTTCCGCGTAGCTACCGGCGTAGGGGGGAGTTCTTAATCTCCTTAACAAACTACGCTACTGCCCCTACGATTCCAAAATGGTCAAGCCTAGGAGCAAAGGCAGGGAAAATTACACAAAATTCAGTGCAGACTACCTCAAGGTAATAGGTACTACCTGAGTTTTTCGAACTCGATACGTTTTGCTTGCGTATCGAGTACCTCGACCAAGGTCTGGACCGTATTCTGGAAGGATGCGATTCTTAGAGCTCTAGATGGTCCCTCGCACCCAGGACGCTTTGATGATTGAACATTGAGAACCCCGCTTACCTAGTTGAATAATCAAAACTTCGCGCAGCCTCCAATTCTTCAAAAGTTTAATGGATGGATAACTGTTGGTAGGTAGCAAGCCTAGCTAGTAGTAGCATCTGTATATTGAGGGGCGGGGCCCAGTGTGATGAAGTTCTACTTCGGAGCTATGGTACTAGTATCACCATAAAATCTGACTCTGAAATTCTGCAGCACTGGAAGCCAGTTGGTCCATTTCTTTGAACTTCTCCGGGTCAAGGACCCGGATATGGTTCTTCTCATCGAAAGTGATTTGGATATCGCTTTCCGCCATCTTTTGTTTTTTTTGCTCCTGTGAGCAGAGAGACAATTACAAGCAGCGTATCGAAAAGGAAACAGCTCTTCAGGGAACTAGTTAATTTGCTTAGAAGACTTATGTTGGAGTACCATAGGAGGCAGCGGTGTAAGCTCCTTTCTTGTTATAAACTTAAAACAAAGTTTGAGTTTCTTTTTCTCGGTGTTATTTAAGCCCCTTTTCCTTTTCCTCTTCGAACAATTCGAGGCGGACTTCAAACAAATAGGTTCTCTCAGGGGAGATGAGAAATGGTGCAAGCCTCACTCAGCTGCTCTTTGAAAAAAGTACGATTTTGGTCAAATATCCTTTTTCGTCACAGTCACAACTTTTTTCCCGTCGAGCCTTGAAAATTACCGCTGCAGCTGTCACACACGACACCATCAAGACAGCAGGCTTGCGTGTGCGTCCCAAGTGCTGGTAGGCTAATAGGCATAAATCTTTTTTGAAATTCAAATTTTCTCAGACATGGTTATGGATGCGCTTATGAAGCGGCAATTTGTGCAGACGGTGTCTCTTAAGCGGATAGATCTTAATCCAGGGAAATACTTGAAGCAAATGGTGGGTCATGAATCCTAGATGCTTGGATTTCAATTGCAATTTGATCTTTGGTTTTGCATTGTGTTGATGTAGGGTAAGTGGAAGAATGTTGATTGAAATCGTCGATGGATAGATTTTTGCCATAAGCTTACTTCCTATGCATGAGGTTGATGTAATGCGAAATGAAGAGGGGAATAAATGCTGTTTTGTGGATACGTAAGAAGACGAGTGTGGATAAGAATAAACATGAAGATAAAATTGTGTGCACGTGTAGTTGTCATGGTGATAAATATTGTTAAGGTCCTACTAGGTTAATTGGTGAAGATATTTAAGATTATGCAGGGACCGCCCGTGATGTCGTGGGAGGGGCTCTTACTGTGTAGAAGACTACTGATGTATATGGGTATGGGAATCGAGATCTTTTACGTCATAATCAGAAGAAGATGTGTGTGTTTGTTGGGTTACTAATAAAATGAGTTGATGTTTTGCAATGAATACGTAGGATGTGATGTTAGCTTGAGCTGATGTTGTAATAAGCGTGTATCTGATGTAAATTTTACGCTGTTTGAAAGAGATAATATGCTGATGATGATTTTTACGTTTAGCATGTGATTGAGATTGTGATGTGAGTACTTACTGAGCTACTCATATGTCCGAAGATGAAAATTAGCAAACTTCTAACTACATAACAGATGTTTGATAAACGCATGTTACTGTAATACTACGGGGATGTGCTATCTCTATGCAGTACTTTAGGCTTCAATTTGTTGTCTTCTCCTTTTCTTCAGTTAGGCTGGAAACTCCAACAAGACAAATATTCCCGCCCTTCCTCCAACTCGTGCGCTTGAAGGCTCGCTTGTGGGTCTTCTAGTACTACAAGAAGAAGAGTCGTTTTTCCGAGATCGCGAGAGAGATTCATATCTCATCCGCAGACGCAATTTTTAGAGAAAAGACATTGAATAAAAACTTAAACTGTGTGCTCGATGACGATGAATTTAGCGTTAGTCCTACTGAAAATAGTTATCACTGTGTCTGATGTGACTGAACAGGAAATAAAAACAACCAAACCATAACATCAACAATTTTCGCCTCGCCGAATCAGCACTGATGGTTCCAGTGAGCATGCGAAAAAGCTCACGCACGCCAGATTCGAGTCCTCGAATCATGCGCAAGATCGGAACCCATGGCCCGTCTTTCGGCGCCGCAGGCAAGCGCACGTTGCGCAGTCGCTCACGAAGTGCCGCAGTTCGTTGTTCGGGTGTCAGTGTAGCTTTCGTGGAGAACGACGCAGATGGTGAGGACTTCTTAGTAGAGGAAGTTTTCTGACGCATCAGCGCTGTCTCTCCTTGAAGATGGTCAGTGCCACCTGCTGTCGTGGCCACTCCTTGTTGTACAACTCCTTCTTCATTCATCCTCGAAGCAGAAGATGATGACGACATACTCCCTGAAGCAACAGCGGCTGCAAGTCGAGTAGTTTTGCTAGGTCCTCCGTGGCGCATGTATGTAGCAAGCAGGTTTCCGAAGGGACCATAGTTCGGTGTCTGAGTATCGAGATGCTGCGCGACACAAGCCAGCAAAGCGACAATGCAGAACACTCCTAGGGTAGAGATGGGACCGAGAGACATCGTCGTTGCTGCTGAAGGGTGCAATGGGAATCGTCCCTGCTTGGCGGATGAATGCCCTTGATGTTTCTGCGCAGACGAATCTTGATGCTCAATCCCAACGGGTCCAAATCCTCGAGTGCGATAGGCGAATACCATTTTTGTTTGATTAATATAGCATCAGAGATGTTCTTAGCTTTTCACTTACTTAGATTGTGACGTCGATCTTCTCGGGCAAGATAAGATGCAACTTGGGCGGGAGTCTTGTTTAGTAACTGTTAGTGATGTCTTCTCTTCAACTTAAGTAGTTAGCGTCTCATAAGTGCAGTACTTCAACACTTTATTTGCCTTGCAGTTGTTGCTTCCACCTATAACTGCTCAGAGCAGATTTTCATTTTGGAAAGGATCATTTTGGAGATTCAGAATGAATGACGATGATGATGATGATGATGATGAACAATGGATGTGCAAAGTCGATCGTTTCTCTTTTTTCACCCAAATGTAATCCCATTCCGTTTGCAGCGAATAGACGAGTCGATATTTCCTCCCTGCAACTCAATCTCCTTTTTCTCTCCACCTATTCTACACTCTCGTAACACACGAAGATAAAATTTCAAATGTCTGATATTTACTCTCGTACAATAGACGAGGTGTTTCCGAATGACGACACTTTCCAAGTCCGCTCGATCATATGCCTTCTCTCCTCGATGCTAAGAGTACGAAGATGCAAAAACGCTTTGCTGCCTTCTTGCTAGAGCCGATTTGATTACCAAAAGATGAACTTACTCGAACAAGCAGTTTCTTGCCTGATGCAAAGAAAAAATGACGAGCTTCAACTGTAAGAGAAGGCGTTCTCTGAAATGCGCGTACATCGTGAGGTTACATGAGGTTATATTTCTTAATTATGAGTGATGCACTTATCCGTTATGATAACATCAGCAACTTGAGGAGTCAATGCCATGGTGCAAGAAAACGTTCTCGAAAATCATGCTCACCTTGGTTTCTTATCTGGCGGTCTACTTCCTATTGAGAATTTTTCAGCGTCAAGTTTTACGGCTGCTCCCTTGCCACCACCGACCCAGTCCAGCATGGGAGCGTCGCAAACCATACCCTCTGACGGGAATCCTCCAACACTAGCTTTCTTGACTTCGATTCCGCCATATATATTAGAAGAGGGAGCCCAAGAAATTGTTGTAAAGAAGCCCAAGAAGAAATCAACTACTTTCCTCTACGAACGTAATGCTACTTGGTAAACCCATGGATATACTTGATAAACCCATTGGCTCAAGGAGTAACTCGGCCGCATATCGATAGGCTTCCCCCATTTTTGAGGGAGGTTTAGGCTAGTGCTCAAGACCGATAGAAAGAATCCCTTTCGCACGAATGTGATTGCAACATGCATACCTTTTCTAAGGTAAAAACCAAAAATCAAACCATGGAGTGAGTGTTCAAAAAATGCTCTGCTTCTCCTATTCTCGAATGGTAACTACAAGGTCTATGGCAGGAAAGAACTTGACAAGGGTATCTGAATCCTACCTACTAGTAGTATTCCAGGCCCTTAACATCGAGAGATTTTCCTGCTGGTACCACGGCTCCTATCCTGGCTATTACTACGAGCTCCCCTGCCTTCACTTTTAGGTCATTCGTAACGATGTTGAGGAAACCTGATGAACCTTCGATTAATTTTCAGAGATCTTCGAGACATTTCTATCGATGGTTTCAATTGATCACTACGGAAGAATAAGCATCGTGAGAAAAATCGACACGCATTAAAAACTATAAACTCTACCTCCGTTGTCTTCTCCTTCTTCTCCCTCCGTGATTCTGACCTTCAGTTTGTTAAGTTTTTTCACAGGCTCAGCTGCTTCGACGGCTGCGACAACAAAATTTTGGTACTTCTTGACCCATGGAAATTCTTCTGGTACTAGAGTTTCACCACAGCTTAAACAAAGCGCCGGTCCCTCGGGGACTTCAGTGTCTTCGGGTTCGAATTCTGTGCCTCCACATTCCGGGAGAGGGCAAGTAAGACGGTCGTCGTAGAAATCGGGCATTTTTCGATTGTAGAGTAGAAAGTAAGAAAAGAAAGGAAAAACTAACAGTCAGTCACCTTCAAATCGAGTTTTATTAGGAGAGACTTTACATACGAATTGATCTCAATAAGCGCTAAATCGTTCTACTGCCATATCCTGCACATAATATCGGTGGAGCCAGCCTAACTCGGAAAAAATAAATCATAAGGATGAAAAAATTATGTGTTCGACTGCACTCCGTGTCACTGATAATTCTGCATTTCTGAATCCTACTAGGAAGAACACTCCCAATCAAGATTTGCTGCCATGCAAAGGCCAGATCAAAGAATCGTCCTTCAATCATTTGTGGAGTCTTTTCGATCTTCTATTTGTCCCGCCAGTTCTTAGGAGATCGAACACTTACGTCAGCACCCGCCAGCAAGTAACCCTTCGCCATAAGCGTCATCTAGGACGAGAAATCAAGACATTTTCAGTAGCGTTGGATTAGGAAAAAGATGGACATCCATGCAGATAACACAATGTTGAAAGATAAATTCAACACACAATAAGATACTGTTAAAGTCATGTCCGTGGTCATTATCAGTAAAAAAGGAAGAAATATCTTGATTATCTCACCAGCCCAATATCCAATAACACCGAGATACTCATGATCGTTCTTCTATCGTATTCTCTTACTTATTTTTCTGCCTCAAACAACATTGAAGGTGAACTTTCTGATGAGAAAAATGCATTTCAAAAGCTTATTATCGTTATGTTTAAATCGTGCAACTTGTAAGATCGTGCATAGAGCGGGTGCGGTCGTGCTTCGCGCGTCAATGCCACGACAACATCGATTTGTAACGTCATTTATTATTTCACACAAGTAGACAGGTTCTAAAGTAGACACTTCTGTGCTACAAGTTCTATCATATTCCTCTTAAGTACACATTTCTGAGCCCTCAATAAAAGGGATCACCCTAGCAGAGCTGAGAAGGACTACCAGACTCGAGTGTTTATGTTGTAACTCGAGTTTTTATGTTATGATATTAGAGGAGGTTTGGACAACGAGCCAGGCTCTTCAGGAGGTTCTTCATTCGTGAGCAGTAGTACAAGAGACTCACTTACCAACCCTCACCCGTACAACGACAAATATTTGACTCGCCCCCATTGGATAGGAGTGTAAAGATTAGGATGGCCTACTTAGTCTGTTTTTTTACAATAACAGCACAACAACTCTAGTCTTCTTAGAATATGCCACAAATCGATATAGTGCCGACCCTAGGGGTACTATCCTTACAATCCACATCATCTCGGGTCCAGAAAAGCTGTTCATTTGAATATGCTAGAAGGACCTCCGACACGACGTAAGTGGATTATAATAGAATTTCGATGACCCCCAACGCGGACACATCGATGTCGATCCCTATTTTTCCCCCCAAATAATCGGCACTTCCTTATGGCCGAGTACTTCTCCTCACGAACGATCTTTATTTTGCTCACAGCCCTTCGTATCGGTATTTTGGTCAAGGCTGTAAAAAGGACTTAGTACTAGTCTTAGTAAAGAACTTAGCAATAGTCTTAGTAAAGGTCAGTTAGTACTGGTCTTGTTAGTACTAGTCTTAGTAAAGGAAAAGGTCTTAGTACTGGTCTTAGTACTGGTCCTAGTCTCAGACTTCAACTACACACACACACGTCGCCTTGTCGAATGCCAATAAAAATACACACTTACCGTATGATTTTCAGAAGTGGTCACACAGCGCCAGTACACACGAGTCAAGTCTTGTACTTTGACCTCTACTTCGTCCTCGGACCAAAATTTCCGAGTTTCAGTTTAGCATATCAGCCCAATTAGCAGATCGCACTAGTGTAGTCACAGACACACGCTTGAATAAAAACTGTATAAGTTACTACCAGCTTCCATTCCTTGTTTCGATGCGCCGTAAAAATCCCTGCAAGTGTTCCTACTACAATCGTGACAACCTGTCTACGCATGAACAACTACGCTTTTCCACTACTTTCTAAAAAACATTTCTAAACGATTACGGCCTTCTACTTTCTAAACAGCTCAACATCTTTTTGAAGCAGGTCTTTTCTACAGCTATCTCAACATTGTTTTCACGACTTGCTTCTAGTGCCAGTACCTCTAATGATGCTCGATGGTGGTAATACCACAGGTTGTAGTAGTATTTTTAGATCAGTTCATTCCGCTTCAGATCCAGACTCCTCTCTTGGTTCCGAAAGTCATGGCATTGCTATCTCAGGAGGAGTAGTTCGACACGCAAACAAGTCCGCTAGATGAAGTGCTAATTCCTAATGTAATATTTCCTTGGTTTATACTCAGGAGGAAAGTCTATCTCCTGAGTACTACTGGGGGGCTATACTCAGGAGAGAGGCTTGCTCAGTGAGGGCGTTGATATTAACGAAGTGCCAGTGCCTCTCTTGAAGGAGCTCAACTCATGAAGATCTCGCTGATCCTATTTGCAAACTCATCATTAAATCTTGTTGTGGTCGAACGAAGCTAGTAACTCGCAAAACAAAATCAATCTCACGCCTCTGAAGACTATCTATAAGTCTCTGAAGACATAAAATCAATCTATAAGAGCTGCGACTTCTTTCCTGAATTCCAAGAACTGCGTTAAATCGTACTTAATAACAACGTCAGGCGTACGTTAAATGGTGATACCTATGATGTCAGGTCTGTGCCCCTCATACATCTGGCCGCTCATGACCATTCCAGTACTTACCTGCTTGAAAAGACAAGCGGAAGATCCTCGATTGAATATTCAAAGGAGCCAGTCCATGACAACATAAGACTGACTGTATATAATTCCAATCTTCTCAATTTCATTCTTCTATCACGTAGACGTCTGAGTTCGTTCTCCTATATCACATACATGTTTCTTCTACCTCTAAGTTTAAGTTGGTACTGGGAAACCTAAAGTCCTCAAAAACCGTGGAGGACCAGTGAGAAACTCTTCTTCGACGAGACGCTCGTTAGTAGTAGTAGTAGTGTACCCATTCAAGAGGTAGCAAAGATTTTTAATTAGGTTTGACTAATTCTGTTTTTGCATTTGCGAGGACAATGAGAGACAAGGAAAATGCAAAACAGTAGCCGTAGTAGTAGTAATGTTCGTGGGGCATTGAAGAATCTATAATGATTGACTGACTAGAACTATCTACGACGACTATTTTTCAGGTCCTAAACTACAGACGTTGACAGAGGATCAATCAATCAATCAGTCAATCAATCAACCAGGTGCCTCCACGGGGCACCGTTTTTTTTGTTTGTATTCCGAGAACGCCGAAAGGGTGATCCCAGTGTTGTCCGGCACCGACCTCCCCGCAGCTGCGACTGCCGCACCTCTACGTCCGTAGTAGTGTATATACATAAACAGAAAGTTTTAAGACCAGACCATTGAGGGCTACTTCTTCAAGTCCTTACTCTTATTGTGTTCAACCTGATGACGGCACGCTTCTTGTTTTTCGTTCTTCTTCTTTTTTCTTCAATAATATGACTTGAATCTATATGGATGATTTGAGTATAATTATGGATGGTTTGATTCTATTTGGCAAGGTGCCCAAGATTTTCCTGACGGCTTCTCGCGTTGGAAAACTATTGTTATTATTCAAGTACCTTCTTACACATTCTTTCGAGGAAAGTGCATGCTCCGTGTATCTAGTCCTACCTGGCTTACTTTTGTGCTCTACAACTAAAAGAAATAACATTCTTTTGATCATGCTAAGGACGTTCTATCGAGAGAAACAGCATACTGCTTTGCTAGCTACTTTCTATCGAGTGATATCAGCCCTAATGAAGCTAAATCCTCGAAGATACGACGTCGCTGCCAGTGCAGTTCTCATAATTTTTAGACGAAGTAATCTTCTAGTTCCAAAGTTGTCAGGTCCTTCTAATCTTGTTCGCTTTACTAGCTTCACCACATAAAGAGTTGTAAGAGACGGCCTAGTATCTATCGCTAGTATCTATCGTTGTTCTTGTCGTCTATCGAATAGTACAACTTTGGAGATGATAGATGTGGTCTCGACGTCTGCTGGTGGTCTCGACGTCTGCATCAGCTCTGTTCCTCCTACTTTGGTTGTAGTCGTTACATCTACCTTGGTTGAAGAGTCCTTCAGAGCTACCAGGTCGCCAAGATCCATATCCACGTAGTACTGACGGTCTAGTGCCTATGGTTACACGATGACAAGATCTTGGTCACTTTTATTTCTCCTGTATTCATTCACTCATTCATTCATTTACCTAACAAGAGGTAACCTCCCAGGGAGAGAGGATGATGAGATACCCAGCCCACGTGGATCGGGTAGCATATATTTTACTGCAGTTCTGATGCTGGAATCGTTTTTATCGATGATTGACCATCACGACGTAATTCAATTTTATAAATCATATAACTAAACGATCTTTATGCTTATTGTTAGTCAGCTACTTGTTCTAAAAGCAAGCCCTGCTCCTGTACTAGTGTTCCTATGAAGATGAAAGTCTTCTACTACGAATTTTTCTTCGTTCTTGAAGAGCCTCAACCGTTCCGTTTGCGACCGCGAAGACTTCACGCTGTCTTACCTGAGCCGCTGCCCCATTTGCGACTGCGACCTGAGGCTGTGCAAAAACCTGAGCCTCCTCCTGAGCCTGAGTGAGCCTGAACCGCGGCGGCCACTGCATTTGCGTCTTGGCGCTTTGCAGTTAGCAGTTTTAAGATGGTCTCTTGCTGTTGCCACACGATTCGGAAACGTTCTACAAGCTGGCTGCAATGGTTCCAGGAGCGTCTTTTCATCGCGTCTACTTCCCAAGTAAGCTTGTCCGAATGTTTGTGGACCCTTCTTTTATCTGAACCTTTTTTAAAGGTAGTCCTTCACTATCCCGAGTCGAGTGAGTTGCCCGCCTTTTCCCCCTTGATATTCTTTCCCCTTAAAATCTTCTAGGAGGGTCCCACTTCTCAGCATAGTGGTCCACATGGGATAGTGATCAACTGTACTCTTAACTTTTACAACCTTTGGTGCTTCCGCGATCTTTTGCTGCAGCTCAGTCTCGAAGTCGTAATGACGCTGGTAGAGACGATCGACTTCTGAGGAAAGGTCGTGCACAAAATAGGTCAAGGCTACTAGTGAACTACTCGCAAAAGACGGCAACGTCTTCTTCTTCTTGTCGGAGAAGCTCAATGATCCTGACAACTCACTATTTGTAGTTGCTAGTTCAGAGGCTACTAGTTCAGCACTCTTTTCATCAATGTCCTCACCCTTGCTTAGCCCTAAAGAGAGTTGCTGCAGTTCTTCCGCAGACAAATTTTGCAGAACTGACGTTTCTTCCGGAAATTCAGAGAGTAAGTAGCCCTGTCTGGCGTTAACCGTCTGACGAAGGGAATCCAGGTGACGAAACCAAAAAGCTAACGTCTTTCCCTCTTCTTCATCATCTATTACTTGCTGATGCTGCTGCTGCTGGATTGATGAGTTATGGGCATCTTGCTGTTGCTGCTGGATTGATGAGTTATGGGCATCTTGCTGTTGCTGCTGGATTGATGAGTTATGGGCATCTTGCTGTTGCTGCTGAATTGATGAGTTATGGGCATCTTGCTGTTGCTGCTGGATTGATGAGCCATGGGCATCTTGCTGTTGCTGCTGGGTTGATGAGATATGGGCATCTTGCCGTTGCTGCTGGATTGATGAGCCATGGGCATATTGCTGTTGCTGCTGGATTGATGAGCCATGGGCATCTTGCTGTTGCTGCTGGGTTGATGAGATATGGGCATCTTGCCGTTGCTGCTGGATTGATGAGCCATGGGCATATTGCTGTTGCTGCTGGATTGATGAGCCATGGGCATCTTGCTGTTGCTGCTGGGTTGATGAGATATGGGCATCTTGCCGTTGCTGCTGGATTGATGAGCCATGGGCATATTGCTGTTGCTGCACGACCTGGAAGATTGATGAGTCATGGGTCATGAATGCTTCTTGCTGTTGAAGGACTGGCGAAGATATCGAAGACGAGGCATCACGTTGTTCATGTCTAGCACGTGGCCCAGCCGAATTTTGATGTTCCTGTGCTCTCTCCCATGCAATGAGTTCTTGCAACTGCTTTTTTCTTTCAAGCGCATAAGCCGGATCTTCCGCGGCCCAACGTTCCTCTTGTTGTCTTAGTGCATCTCTAGTTTGTTGAAGCCGTCTGGTGAGCTCGTCTCTTTCTTGTGCCATCGCGTTCACCAGAAACTCGAAGCCTTGCTTCACAAGCATTAGAGCTCAACAAAATAAAAACTCATTCACTTCTTGCTGTCATTTCTTCAGAATCCCAAGAGGGAAACAGTTCAGTGAGAAATGTCAAGAAATGTCTTGTAGAAATGAATTAGAATTGTATCTATCGAGTCTTAAAAGCTCGTAGTCCTCCTTGCTCAACTCTGATCGCAGGAGGCTGATGTCCACCCTGCGCCAGTTTCCGTTAATTTCCACCATCAGGGTTGCAAGCTCTTTAGCTTCCTGTGGCGCCCACCATCCACGCGCCCACATCTCATGGCAAACCTCATTCCACTTCAGCTTTCGCATACATTAGAGCGTGATGCACCTTCTAAAAGAATCACGATTACCTACGTACCTTTCTAAATGTGGTCGTACCTAAAAAAAAATTACCTGTAGCTACCTTTGTAAAGAATAGGATAATGAGGAAGGCTGTAACAAGAGCAAGATGACGCAACTGTGCTAAGAAGATGATAATTCAATTAGTGGATCATGAACTAGAAGCTTTGAAATAGAGGACTCACGGACTAGAAGCAGTATCTATAAGAGAAGCACAAGCCGTAAACGTAGTTCTCGTCATCGTTGATGTCGGCTGGCTCCGGTTCCTTCAACTCTAAGTAATATCTGGACTGTCTCGTGGGTCCGCGGTTCCTACTACCCCAGCTGGGATTATTCACACCAATCTGAAACCAAAATTAGAGCTCATCTTTTTACCCGACTTGTTCCATCTTGAGATCATAGCACATCCTGAGACAAGACTACTCTGCCCTTGTTAAAAGGGTCTCTCTCCTAGGTGGCTGCCTTCTCTGAAGACGGACCATTAGGTTTACGGGAAGCCTTAACAAAAGAACCCAGCTTTATGCCACCAGGTGAGAGGACTGGAGGACACCTCAGCGTCGTAGTAAAGCTTCTCGTCCGTCGATTTCGACCAGTTGCTAGCCTCGACAACGCTCTTTCCTAATTGTCTTAATTTCGGCAAGTTAGGGTCGGCGCTCTGATTTTCAGCTCCCGAATGTCCAGAATGTGAATGCCCATGCCCAGAATGCTCCTGTGTTCCGCGTCCTTGAGAGTGCTCTCTTCCTTGTCCTTGCCGTTCTCCTTGATCTTGATGAAAATGATTACTCCAAATCCAAAGCGCGGGGTCTTCTTGGACTGCTTGTTCATCAGACGGACTCAGACTCGTCGTTGCAGGAGATGCATGCGCTGTATCAGACGATCCTGCTCCTCCTCGAGAAAATGATCCTCCTGCATTACCAGTATCAGATGCTCCAGATGCTCCCGAAGGTCTTCCTGTATTACCAGTGGACGACGATGCTCCTGAGCCACTGCCTGCATACGAAGAACCCAAGAAAGCCTCGGAATGATTCAGATTCATCCCATCCAAATGGTTCATTCCTTCTCCTGCATCCAAATCATTATGCTTCACTCCATCTGCCCCTACAAGCTCTTGCTGTTCTTCATGCTTCACTCCATCTGCCCCTACAAGCTCTTGCTGTTCTTCATGCTTCACTCCATCTGCCCCTACAAGCTCTTGCTGTTCTTCATGCTTCACTCCATCTGCCCCTACAAGCTCTTGCTGTTCTTCATGCTTCACTCCATCTGCCCCAACAAGCTCTTGCTGTTCTTCCATGGCGGGCTGAAATTGTTGAGGAAGAAGGCCTTGTTGAGCAGGTGCTCGTGACAAAGACATCCGCCGCAATGCTTCGAGTAGATCTTGATGCTCTTGGTGTCTTTCTTGATCAGTAGTTGTCTCTACTTGTTCTTGTACTTGTTCCCGTTCATTCTGTTTCGCAAATCCGTCCTCTTCCTTCCCAATTACATGGTTGTATCTTGGCAAAGCAAATGGCTCTTGTTTTGCTTCTCCAACACTGTTCGCTACTGACGGTGCCGGATAAGGAGGAGGAGAAGGTCGTGGCCGCGTCGGCTTCATTTTAGATAAGAGGGGAGCGCCCGCGAACAACTCTTGAACAGGAGATGGAGAGAAATTCTGAGAGTCCTTGAGTAGAGAGGGAGAAGATCCCTCCATTTCTACTCCCGCAGATGTCGAAGGAAGACGGAAAGCTCCCTCTTGTTCTCCCGCTGCAAGGGGCAAGAAAGCTGCGTTATCAGCAGTATGACCTTGAGATTCTTGTTGCGCGTTGAGACTTGCAGCAATGTGAGGTGGCAAGACTCCTGGCACGTCAAAGCACATAGGACCTAAGTACGACGACAAGTGTTCATCGGGTCGTCCAGACGGCTGCTGTGGAGGTTGTTGGGCACCTCCTAGTCCTACTTCTACGGGGATTGGCGAATACACTGAAGGCTGTATAATAGGGACTCCACCTTCTAGTACTGGTGCTCGCGATGAACAAGATGTGGGGACATTAACTGGCACAACCAATACATAGTTACATACCGGCGCGCAGCCGGGAGCTTCTTCTACCCAGTAAGGAAGTGGCTGTGCCTGTCGTGGCGAGCCAGTGCCCTTCGAAGGACTGGAGAAGTCGGGAGCAGAGGGTGAACAAGGTGTAGTAAATGCACATGTAGTAAAGTTGCCGGACGAGGACGCGGCGCCTTGAGACGAGGATGCAGCAGTCGGGCGCGCACTTTGATCCACGACCTGTTGTAGTTCCTGGTTGTTAGCGAAGCAATTAGTCAACAATTGGCAATTGTTGCGGTCGGGTTGATGCACCAGTAGTGGAATTGATCTCCCAGAAGTGGTCAACATATTATTCCACGAGGAAGCGGCCTGAGGAGCGGCTTCTCCTGGTTCTGGAGAAAATAGGGGAACAACCTCCGGATCATGTTGCCCTACTTGGGAAGGACTTTGTCGCTGTTGCTGTGGTGCACCAGTAGAGCCAGCATAGGACGATGATGCAGGGGATGCAGAAGAACCCGGAAAGAAACCCCCGGAAAATCCGCAGGGAAAAACTCCTCCTGGTTCTTGTTGCACCGTAGTACAAGGTGGTGGAGGAAGATTGCTGAGGTTTTGTCCCTGAAAGTGCTGGCAGTTGTTGCTGTTGTAATCGACGATGAATGGCGACATCACAAATCCACCTCCACACTGTAGATGTGGAAAATCGAAATCCCTTACTAAAGTTTGTGGTGTATCCAAGTCTGGTATGTGCTGCAAGACGGGAAACGAGGAAGGCGAAACTTTTTGCTGCTGTGGCGTCATCGAACCTGGGGAACAAATACTTTGATGCTCAAGACCAAAAAAGCACGGTGGAACAGAGGACTCGTTACTTTGCAAAGATGACGTTGCGGATGGCCCTCCTGACGCTAAGTTTGCTTGGACTTGATCCCACCAAAAATCATCATCCTCGCCTGCAGCGTAATGACCCCCTGTAACTTCTTCATCTACACCACCAACCAAGGCTGCAGGGTCCTCCTGAGGGTCAGCCTCAGCCTCAGCAGGAGAAGTGTTGTAACAGGGATGAAAAAACACATGAGACGAGGAGAGTTTCCTTGGATCTTCATCGAAGCCTCGGAGTTGATCCATGTAGTAGTCCTTGCGCTCGTTGATCATGATGCCAGGTCTATGACGTCCGTAGGGATGAAGTTCATGCGTGTACGAGCATAGGGGTTGCGTCTTGCCAGAGATGCTGTCCAGAAACACTCCAATCAACCTCGTAATTCGCTTGTCCGCCTCTCTTTGCCTTGCTTTATCTTCAGTTCCTTCTTCGAGGAGATCATAGGCATCAAGATCGAGCACTTTTCTATGAGCATCCATCAGTTCAGCATCGGTGGCCATGTTCGGATGAATCTTAGCTCGGATCATGTCCGCGACTTGCTTTTGCTTTGCGTGCTTTTGTTTTTCTTCCACACTTCCCTTTCCTTCCAAGCTTCCCTCGTCTTTCTTCCTCTGCGTTAAAAAGGCACCCCCGTCCTCTTGTTTCAACAGAGTGGGAGTGCCGCGGCTGGCGAGCACTTTGGCAGAGTCTGGATTGCGCGCGAGAAGCTTCACCCAAAAAGCGAACATGTCTTCGCCACAATATCGGTGATCAAAATCATTGTGGTAGAAACTGCAACTGAGCTGGCACGGCGCGAGTTCTCCCGCCACTGCACTCTCATGCGCAGGAGCCGTGCACTCTTGCGTTTTCCACACATTGTTGAGGTCCATCTCTCTAGTTTCATGGGCGTAAGTGCAATTATCGCTTCTGTCGCAACGCCCTTTCGATAAAAACCTAGTCGTGGGTGCTCGTGCTCGTGGGCGTAGGTGTTGTTTTCATCGATTGATTGATCTAGAATACTAGAACGAGGAGCGAACAAGTCTAGATGGTCTAGCGTGCCAAAGCCTGTCATGTCATGTCATGGCACCTCCTTTGTAGCTAAAGTCGTCTACCTTTGAGGCCACCCTACAAAAGAGAGACTAGTGTAAATAAAGACATAGCAGTCAGTCTATGCCTAATTAATAAGTAGTACCTGCAGAAAAGAGTTTTTGTGACCGGGAAGGGCTTGGCCTTTGTCCAACATTCTCGGCGTCCCGGCTTCCTTGACAATGCGGCCTCCGGGCTTCCGACACCTTGGTATTGGTCTTGATCGTTTCCTCCTTGCCATGCTGCGCGTCTTGGTCGTGCTCCTGTCAACCCTGCCGCATCGACGGCTGTAAATCCAGCAAAGGCCGCGACAAGGACCACGACTCTAACCACGAGACGAGAAAACCACAGAAAAGCACCACTACGACTACCTTCCAACATCATTTTTTGAATGTTTGTAGCCTCAACAACGAAATTATATCAAACTGTACGTGTGGAGTACTGTAACAACTTGTTTTCACTGTAATTGATATTTCAGATTATCATAGAGGGACTTAGACGGATGTAACCTTGCTGATAATATGATCTTTAAATTTCTGGCTATTAACGATCTCTGTCTATGCCTAACTAAACAATGAGCAAAGATGAAGATGCAGAGACTACACACAATTATCTATCTTTGTCCTTCCGCTTTTCTTCCAAGATGTTGACGCAAGAAGTAATCTAGGTAGTCGTGAACGTGAACTAGAAAAAACTAGAAACGTCGCAGGAGAACAATGCATGGATTATAAATGCTGGTAATACAATAGTCACAAGTTCTTGCTCTTTTCCTAGTTAGAGACAAGCGCTCTCGTAGTTCTTAATATGTCGATTGCAGCCCTGCGCGGACACAACTGGTTAAAATCAATTTCCTTGGATAGACTCCTGAGAGGTCGTCCACTCACTTGCTTCAGTGTTCTAAAAAAAGTCAAAGTCTTCTATGGGATGCTTCTAATCCTAATGGAAGAGGAAGAATGCTCCTACGTATAAACCTTCTTGCACAATCAGATAGAAATACACCAGATAGAAATCCACACTCGATTTCTTTCGAAAGAAACCACTTTTAGATAGCTAAAAAGAATCCGAAGTCATTCTTCTGGCTACACATTAAAAAAATCACACAAGAATGGATGCAAAGACACGGACGCCAACGACACACAATGTTATGAGTATGATAATGCTTCGAGATCGAGCGGTAGGTGTTGACTACTCTTTGAGACGACTCTTTTTTAAGACAAGTTGACTTCTCCTCAAGATGACAAGTGATCTCAGTTTAGCAATCCAAACAAGGCAGACGAGTGAACTTCTTCTAACAACACTCTACGATTTAGCTGCGCTACAACTCAGTGACGTTTGTAATTTTCATGGATATAATCTCCTCGACGGCTTGGAATCTTCTAGCTCCGCTACGTGTCTATATTGATCTTCAACTATTTGTCGATTCCAGTAAATATCTCCTCGTCAGTTGCTTAAAAATAACCTCCTCGCTTCTAAAATGCCTTCGATTTCGTCAGCACTTCTACAGAAGTACAACTCGCAGCTATATCTCGACGCTATTTCGAGCACGACAACTCACTTATTTGCCAACTTGCTAGTTACTGGGTCGTCGTCGTTCAATCACTGTGGTTATAAATCAACTTGTTTGCTGATTCGAGCACTAAAACTCGGACTGATACATTCCAGCTAGTTCGATGATGTGAAAAATACTCCACACATCCATCTAGGAGGCTGTCGTCGATCCCTGTTGTTCGCTGTTTTTCGTTGGGTTTGTATCTTATTCTAGGGAAATGGATATGGATCGTTGTTTGATGCGTGGGATGGATACCAGTCTGGAGGTGGAACAATCAATAGACATAGTACTTGGTGGAGTTGGGATTCTTGGCTGGATTTTTAAGATTGTAAGTTGCAAAAGTCGCATATTCATCGCCATGATCTCAAGGAGTATTTGGATGGCACACGACGGATCCACATGCACATATTGTTGAGGGAAGTTCGTTGCGAATCTTCACACAGAGAAAGGAAGAAGGTGAAACTCAAATTGTAGATGATGACGATGATGATGATATATACGAACGCAGAACCATAGGCGGCAACGCTACGGCGAAAAATTGCGGAACTCAATATAAATATCATCCCAGAAGACAACACCAGCACCATTTCCGGAGCGCCGCTTATCTTTGTACCTAAACCGAAGAAACGGAACCGAAGAAAGGAAGAGAAACTGAAACTATTGGGGGGCAACGGAAGGCGACGGCGAATCTGACAACAGAAGAACGCCAAAGCACGCCGGACCTTGCGGTTCGAAGCCTCTTGCGCATGGCGAGCATCGGGGAGGTGAAGCGCCGCAACCGAAACAAAGGAAACTACCGCTCGAGGGCAACGCAGTCAGTGCGGGGAAACAACGGCCAGGCCGGAAGCAGGGTGCACACGAGAGCGCCGACCCCTTTGCGAGAGCCAAACTGCGCCGGACAGAAATGCCCAGCATGCTCAAGCACTCCCTACAGCCTGACGGACTAAACGCGAGCTACTACCTTGAGCAGCCTCGGCGTGATGACTATGCGCCTAGAGTCACCCGGGTCAGCAGGATCAGCCCTTTCCCTTGAAAAGCGGCGCACTTTTGCAGTAATGCGCGCACTCATCCAATGGACGCAGGCCCCCTGCTCCAGTTGCTCTGCCTAAGGCTGCGGCGACCTGCGCGCGGCCCTCGTCGTGCATAAGCATGAGCACCCTAACCGCCAGCCCGTAGTACTCCGGCGCGCCGTCCTTGTTCATATCCTTCAACGCCTCTTCTATCTCGTCAGCGGTTATGTCACCGCTAACTTGATCTAGTAGCCCCTGTGGCAGCCGCTTGGCTTCTTCCGCTATTTCATCAGCTACAGGCAGCGCGTAGCCGTCTGGCAGAAGAGGACTGCTCCCTGCTTCGTCAAGTATAGCCCTGATCCTGGCGCCAGCTTCTGCATCGGCAACATTTGAATGAGCAAACTTGTGCTTGTCGGCATGCCCATTGTGTAGATGAAGGCGCCTGTCTATCCCCAACACAGGAGCAAGTTTCAGACGTGGATCTCTTCAAGTCGCAGAAAGTTTGATAGATTTGATCTCTGAGAATCGGAGTTGTTTCGACACTCATTCATTCATCCATTTACCTGTTCTGGAGGTATCTTTTCAGCAAAGGTTGATCTTTCAGCAAAGGTTCTAACAGCACTCTTCAAAAAAATGCACATAAACTAGACTTGCACTCACTTTCACGCATGCTCTTGTATGCTTCGAACAAAGAGTATGTTCTCTCACATGGTGTCGACGAAAGCAACTTCTCGGCTCCAGTTGCTCACGAAGAGGAGCATGCTGCTCGTATAAGAAGATCAAGATGCTTAAAAGATAACAAGGAAAATTACTCATTCGAACATGTTGAGATGTCAAAAATATTTCTATATTTAAATCATGTTGCGTACAAGATTCCTGTCCTTGACGAGTTTCTGGCATTCTTTGCTTGTGTGAAGATGAGTCAACAAGTAACGTTCTTTCTGTGTGAAGATTCAATCCGCAAGATTCAATCCGCAGCTTGACTCCATGTTATCTAGGTCGTGGCTTCAAAATAAAACTCCAAGTAGATGAGACAGAGGACTCCAATGTAGATAGTTGTGATGACAAGCTAGTAAGTGGAGACCTTAGAGGCCACGCGACAAAGAGAGAACTTGAAACCCCACTCTAAAACGTTGCTAGATGCATAGCAAGAAAAATCGACGTGGATGCTGCCCATCTCTTGTCATGTGTGCGCCCTGGAAAATATGGCCACTCGTGACTTACATCTAGATTTAGAAGGGCTTCCACCCAAGCCCCAGGACTCGTCCCATCTTTTTCTCTAATTACTTACACTTTTTTACTACACAGAAGAAGGATGACAATATCACGTCTCAGTTTGAATGTTCTCGGCCACGCGACAGCAGCAGAGAAGTGGTCTACAAGTTGCATATTAGTAGTGGTTTGTTTATTGGGCGCAGGAAAGTTCGTCTTAGATAGAAACTGTCACTTTGATGATAGAAGTGCTATACTGTTGGTTACTTAGTACAACTTACACATCTGTGATACATCCACGAAAGCCCTTTCCTGCATCTCCCTAAGTTTGGCACGCGTCTTAGTGCCACTACTTGACTTCCAATCTACTCCACAACTACAGATTGCTGGTCTTATGCGTGAATTGCGATCATGTAGAGATGTTCGAGCTCAAGCTCAAGCTCAACGGCCTCGATCGCGTCAGGGATGCCAGGTGCACCGACGTCACGAGGTTTTTTTTTTTTTCCATAGGACTACATGCCGCCTCCCATTCAACTACCTAAACAATCCATTTACAAAACTTACATACCGGGGGAGCAAGAAAACCGTATCACAACGGCCAAAAACTACGACTATCGGAGAGAACTATATTGCAATAGCCTCTGTAGAACAACTAAGGCACAACCTAACAATGTAGGGCCCTGAGAGCAAGTGTAACAACCTGCAAGGGTATGACATGCCTGCCCATCGTAAAATGATTTACTGGAGAAGAGCCTAAAGAACCAGGAAATTAAACAAATATCAAGGCTATCTACAGCATAGATCACGTGAACAGGCCTCCTTAAAACTAGTTTTTCTTTCAGTAAACACTTAAATAAAGCAGTTGCTGCGACCGCTTGAAGTTTTGTTTTCTTAATTAGGTTAATTAAAAAGGTGCATTCTATTCAACTAATTTACAAAATCTTGTGGGACTTAGCAGTGTAGTGAATCGGCCTGATGAATGTTTTGCTGTTGGCAATAAGTGCCGGCCTAACAATTTAAAAAGCTACTTTTCTGCTTGTTCTTGTGCTTCAGCTCAAAACGCAACGTTTTCCTGCTGCCATCCTTACGTCCAAAATTCAATCTACGTGAGAGTCTAAACGGACAATTTCTATCCACTACTTCTTCTCGTTAACTAGAGGCAGTGTTTGTATTTCCGGAGCGCCTTGCTTAGGTAGACAGATCAAGTCTTGATCTAGGTATTCATGTGTTAACACGATTTCCGAGAAGAGCTTGTCTGAATCTACCAGCCTGACCTTGCTGAGTACTTCAAATTCACCTTCTACTTCGGAATTGGCGGCAAAAAATTGAGAAAGTTCTACATGAGATCAGCCGGAAGGAATTCTGCTTCTGGTTCTTCTCGAGATGGATGTGGAAACTATGTATAGCGCAAAATCAATCAAGACATAATCATCTGCGCAGTACTGAGTCGGCTAGCATGCAAATCATACGAGTCTTGATGGTGTGACTATTTTACAATGTAGTCCTGAATCAACAGGAGAGGTCGAAGCAAATACACAGTGGCCCGACCACAACGGAGCTAATCTAGTATGTTTTCTAGTAAGTACATACAAGACTACACACAAGAGCAATCAGATCCTACCGAAAAGTCCTTCTTTGCTACACACGAAATCGACATTGTTCAAAATGAAGAACAATGTCGAGCCATCAGATACACATTCAATATTAGGCGGCCAGACAATTTTTAGTATTACTACACACTAGAAGTCCATCGAGATTCTTTGGCTGATTCAGCGAGTAGTATGCATACACATGTCACACTTGCTGCCCTTGGTGCCAACCAGAGAGAACAAACCTTGCTCAGCTGCGCTTTCCCTTTCTCTAATCAGCCAGTCAGGAAAGACACCTACCACCTCCATCATTAGTGTACCAAGCCAGGTACCGCAGGAGAAAGGTAGTGCAGCGAGTCCTCACTCTGAGGTCACGATCACGATCACCTTTGTTATCAATTGAAATTGTATTCTTGCGTAAAGACCTCACCCTATAGTATTGCTCAATAAATATCTGACTATCAGGAAGATTTTCATCATCATATGTGACGCAACTAGTTAGTTAGTCACTTGAGTCTGATAGTTGTACGTATGGTTATGGCTGCGCCATCGTCGGCATGATGTAAGTCCCTATGGTTTCCCTCCACCGACGCGAGTACTCTTCATCAACCTCCAGGATGAAGGATAATCGTCAGTGTACTCAATATTCTCAATCTTCCCCACCTCCTTGATTGCTTTGCTTAAAAGTCTGCCAAGCAGTAGAGACCATTTGTTAATTTCTATTGCAGTGGAAGAATCATCTCTAGTATGTCGTAAAGTGACCCTTCCGTATTAAAGGTCATACAGTTCCTGAGAAATTCCTGTACTATCTTCTAGTTCAATCATTATAATGAAGTGAGGTATAACAACACTACTAACCCTGTACTTGTACTATATAAAAAAGATAAATATTATCAGTATAGTCGTGGTCAGAAGCGCCATGACAACCGGAAGGAACCTCATGACTAGTTTTCCCCTTGGCCTTGATGTTTGTACCTAAGTAGTTCTTCATTCTAGTTAGGTAATGGTTGTTGCCAGCATTGAATGTTGTAAATGTTTTAGTTTTTCTGCTCTTATATGAAGAGAGAGGGAAGAAATCTTACATCAACATACCCCGTTCATGCTACTTACTTATTTGTTCTAAGAGGTAAAAACGATAGGCACCCTTCTACATACACTAAACAAGGTACACCAAGAAACCACACTTTCATGCAAAACGACTCTTCTATTTCTATTTGAAAGAAAAACCCAAACAGAAAGATCTACAGAATATCCCCTTTTTTCTAAGTGAAAGTACTCATATAATTTCATAAAAGCCTGAAGCTTGATGACAGATCTAAGTCTTCTATTAAGTATTCATAAACACGGCCTCAGTTTTTGCAGCGTGCCTCCCACAGCGGCACTCTTCTGGCGACGACCAGATCATGGCTTGTGATTCTGCTCGCCGAACACCAGACGAGTTCCGACTAAGTATATCTCTTCTCCAGCTTCTTCATTATATGTGTCTGCTCCAGCAAGCTTTTAGCTTCTCTTCATCATTTGTAGTACGCAGTAGAGTACGGATTTACAAAATCTAAATCTGTAGTCTAGAAACTCTTTATCTATATTTCACTTCAATGTTGCATAACCAGGATGAAAGCAGGACACCTCCGAGTCGTGCCTCCATTCTGCGTCCACTAGTGATTGTGATTATCTTTTGTTCTCCCACATACTACATGAGGTACGTCTCCGCTGATTTCTGGGTGCTCATTTCTAGGATGTATCACAACCAAACAACTACTCGTCAATACATTTCCAACATGAGTAGATAAAGACACTAACATCATTACTGGCTAGAATCACCTGGAGTTGGCATCTTCAAGGAAGTCGCAGTACTATCACCACCTCCGAGAGTAGGCCAACTCGTTTCTTCAAGAGCAAACGCCGTTTCTTTAGTTGCCTTTCCTCGTCGTTTTCCTGTCCCGAATAGATACGGTTGGCAAAGATGTTGACCCTCATCAGGAAAAGAGCTCTGGACATTCATCATGCCGACGTCCATTTCTTCTGGCGTGTGGGCATAAGCGCAGTCCTCTGAAAGTTGATGTTTACAGCCGAACCCGTTACCAGGAGACAGCATGTACCTTGAAATTTAACATTAATATCGCAAAGAACTACCTTACTGCACTTGTTGGTAGTCGTAATCTATCTAGTGGTAGTCATGTACCCCACTTTCATGGGACGACATTAATGACCACCCGTTGACATTAGCAGTATTTCGCTCAGAAAAGCAGTAACTGATGTGTAGAAGGGACGTGAAGAAGAAAAAGTTGTGTTTTGCTGTAGAGATTATCATTGTCATTTTCGGAAACTCCTGCAAGATTATAGTGAATAGCGGATTAAGCGTGAGATAAGTGCCAGAATGGTTAAGGGATGAAAGAGAGAAAGAAGTAAGAGAGAGAAGTAAAGGGAAGTAGGAAGACCTAAAATGAGATGAGGCGTAGTTTGTACTTGCACGGCACGATAGCAACAAGTCTAGTTTGTACTTGCACGGCACGATTTTGTGGAAGTGAGACAAGCGATGCGTTGGAAGTAGTGGCACCAGCCCGCCGTCATGCTCCTCTCTTTATGTTAGAGAAAGAGGCTTTCATTCATTCGCATCCCTAGTAGTCCTCCTAGCCGGGAGGGTACACTAATTCACTTATCTACTTTAGATGTTGAAGAGGTCGTTACGAAGATAATTTTTGACATGCAGCTAAGCTCGCCTTCATCTGAGGACGATCCAGCTAAGATAGTTGATATCATTCAACGTCTACTTGTGGCCAACACGCACCAAATGAATTAGTATCAACTCAAGGACGAATCTGTGGCCTCTCTAGGCATAAGCTTTGAAGCAGAAAGAAGAGTGCAAAAACTCATGCACCAAACTCTACATCTACTCATCAGCAAAATACCTGAGCATCCACCATACTACTCCCAAAGGATCAAAGGGAGGGATCGGAAAAAAACGGATCATCAGGTTCACTCATATGATGAAAAACAAATCGCCGGCCTTAACAAAACATGCGGGACCGAGTGCTTGCGCTCACGTACTTCTACTGGTTCTGGGGGTGGCGGGGCGTGCTCTTGTTCCGTTTTTGCGAATGGCGGACCCCCTTTTTGCGAAAGGCTGAATGCTTTGTCTTGGCGTTGGCCGCCCTATAATTTAGAGACTGACCATGCACTTCGATCTAAAGTCAAATTAAAAAAAACGAAATTGATTCCAAGGAATTGTCTCAGATATAATGAAAAGTTGTCCTTCTGTTTTCCGGTTTCCACGTGTGTGTTCCTTACTGCGCCAATCATGAGAATGAGTGAAGACTTTCTTATTTTCTAGTTCCACACCTGCTGCATTAGTGACCACCTCCGCTTTCCGTACACGCCCCTTGCCGATCGGCTGCTGCATCTGTTCCGCAGGGACCAATTGTCGAAAGATGGGCGTCACGGTTCCCTCCTGGGTCATCATACATAACGGAACAGCGCGCACCAATTGCGGGTATTGCATCTGTAGGGGCTGCTGTTGTTGCATTTGTGCACATTGGGGTAGGTGTTTTCGCGTTTGCGCAGATTGACCAATCATGTTCGACTGCGTTTGCTTCCACTCATCGTCTGCGTCATTTTTCAACCTTGCAAGACGTTCATCTGCAGTCTCTTGCAAGGGTTGTAGTTCTTGGTCTACTATCATCTCCTCCTGTGGAGGTCCTTGCCTCATGTTCATATGCTCTTGCATTTGTCGCCACTCCCACAATCTGTATTCGTCTTCGGCGTCACCCGCCTTCAATCTTTTAAGACGTTCATCTTCAGTCTCTTGCAAGGATTCCACTTCTAGTTGCTCTACTACCTTCTCCTCCTGTGGCTCTTGTTCCATTGACTGTTGTGTCTGCTGCTGAGCAGCATTTGCTTGTTGAGCATTTGCTTGTTGAGCATTAGCTTCTGGTCTCTGTTGGAGGAACGGGGTCATATTAGTCATCTGCTGTTCATCTGACGAAGCTGCGTTACCGTAGCTCCACAGAAAAGACGGAATCTGGGATGCTTGTTGGGAGATTCCGAACCCGGGTCCGAATCCGGAAACATCAGATGTAGGCTTCGGAGAACTAACGTAGTGGTAGTTGCTGTAGAAGTAATTGCCGTCAAAAGGTTGCTCCATCCCTCCACTTGGCGTTCCGTACATCCCTTGCTGCAATTGCATTGCTTCCGTTGCAGTTGCTTCTAGACCCTGGACTTCTTGTTGGGCTGCCCAAAGGTTTCCATCTTCTGTTGTAGTGGGTAAGTTAGCGATAGGATGCAACTGGTCATCACCAGGAGGCGAAACTGCAGCCTGATGCAGCCCATATGAAGAAGTGCCAGCACCATGATGCCCACTCGAAGAACTAGCTACCGCAACATTAGGACCTTGGATGTAGTCGGTTGCCCGAAGTGGTTGCTTTTTCTCGTCGACGAACTTGAATAGCAACTGCGAGCACTTTTTGAATGCCTCCAATTGCTGACGAAACTGCCCTTTAAAAAGTTCCATATTAGGAGAAGCTGCTTCAGTATCTTCAAGAAAAGCTTCCGAATCCTGCTGGTCTCCTGATGAAGATGATGCCGAACTCATTCCATCTGTGATGCTCTCCAGAAAGTTGTCCAGAGTCTGAGACCAATTTTCGCTCGTTTCTTCCACTGTACTCCCATCGAGCATAAGCGAAAAAACCTGACTGAGCTCCTCGTCGGAAATCGGCTCCCCTTCAAGGTAGAGACGACGCTCTCTATCTGTGGGAACCAGTTCCCGCCAACCCGAAGGTTGTCGTTCGCCACCACTGCCAAATCGCTCTTGCAAAATCCTCGCTGTCACACGCTCAGCCAGATATCTTGCGGCATTCTCTACTACAGCATCCAATTCACGTCCACCAGCTTGCTGTTTATTGACGTGATACAGGGGCGTGATGATAGGCGCCAGCACTTGCGGAGAAGAAAAAGAAGAGAGAAGGTAGCTCGCCAAAAGTGATTCACCGAATTGACGCAATTCGCCGTAGCCATGACTACAATTGCATGCCATCTGTTTTGGAGTCAGGAAAGCTTGAGCGCCTCCTTGAGCATCTTGCGCGTCATAATGCTCCACACGTTTCTTAGGGGTAGTTGCACTTGCAAGACGACCCCTATGCATCTAGTAAGTTTCGCAAATCAGTAGTCCTTTATTTTCACCTTGAAACAAAAGGGCATGGATTTAAGGCATTCTCTTAGAATTAGGCACGCCTTTGAAACAAAAGACCATATATAAGCCACATCAATTACTAATACACAACAGATAATAGTTTCATAGAGGGTAGTGCTAGTGGGTAGTAGATATATTTAAGATAAAGATATGATTTTAGAGATACGTCTTTGAAACAATAACAAAAGGCCATAGATTAGAAAAAGATATGATTTTAGATGATACCGATAGAGATAGGTCTCCGCCTTGCTAGTACTACAAACCATAAATCGACAGAGCTCGGTTTTCCAAGGGTTATGCTGATCCATTTCCGTGACGTTGTGCGCATAATGACACTTGCCCTCGAACCGGCAACCGCGACCGGACCTATCAATCCACCTGTGTGCGTTTTTTATCACGGTGATCTATCACAACAGAGAGACACTGACACCACTTATCAATATTTAGACTGCACAATGACGGAGCCTATCCTTGTAACTACAAAAGTACTTGTCTATCATATCAAGAATATGAATATGCATCGATAAAAAGACTCAGAAGACAAGAAAGACCAAAAAAGAAGATCATAAGCTTTCTTAAAAGTACTTGCATGGCGCCACTCGCTGAATTACTGGCACAAGTGTTGACTTCCATATATTTTGACGCGGTCGTCGCGAAACAGCCAGCGGCGGTGGTGGTGGTGGTGGTCCGCTTCCCTTTCCATCGCTTTTCCCGCCTTTCCCGTTGATGTCATCCTTGCCACCTTTACCGCTGATGTCACCCTTGCCGCCTTTCCCGTTGAAAATGTCACCCTTGCGACTTTGACTGCCATGTTGACCTTGTTTACCGAAGCCGCCTTTACTGCCATGTTGGCCTTTACCGGCGCCGCCTTTACCGCCATGTTGGCCTTTACCACCATGCTGACCTTTGCCGCCATGTTGGCCTATGCCGCTATGGCCTTTGCCACTTACAGCAAGGAACCTACTTTGCAGCTTCACCGCACTCGTCAGGTTTGTAGCCAGCGACGAAGCGAAGAGAATTTTCGAAAGAGGCAACATTTTTGTTTATTTGCTCAACTCCAATTGAAGTGTTGGAATAGGATAGAATAGGATAACGCTTCTAAATAGATAGTCGTGTTTCATACAAGATGTGTAAATCATATGCTAAAAAAATCTTCAGTGTTATTCGTACAACTGATTATCTGATCTACAGAGCTTACAGATTTTACAGAGGAGCTCCCACTAGGTGCCGATGCTTTCAGCGTGTTTGATCTACAGAATAGGATAGGAGGGGATCCACCCAAGAAAGGACAGGTTGACGAACGCGGGCGCTGACGAGTGGTGACCAAAGATGTGCTGGAGATCTCAAGAACTTGTTTAGTCTAGTCGGTGCTGAAACAAACTGCTACTATTACAGTTACAAACTTTTCGAAGTGTTCGACGCACCACCTTAGGTGGGCGCAGAGAAAGAAAACACTTCACAGACGCACAGATAAGGATAGCAAAGCAGTGAACGAGCACAATGCCCAATTAACCTACATAGCGCTAAAAACTTAAAACAAAAGAAACCAACTGAAAAAAGTTAAAAGTGATCATCTTCGTCGCCTCCTAAAGCGAGCTTCGTCTCAACAGCAGAATCTCTCTCTCGCTGCCTTTGAAGCAGCAAGACAATAAAAATTTCTGACGCATTCATTCATGTCAGTTGTGAAGCTCTTCTACATCAACAGCATCAGCAAGGCTCTTTTCGTGGCATCCATTATCCGTCCATAACTCTGAGCCATTTCAACTTCAACTATCAAGTACTTACCCCCGCCACAGGTAGTAGTAGTAGTAGTAAACCCATTCTAGGGGTACATAACCAGGTGAACCAACTCCTCAGTAGGGTGACTCTAGTCAAACCGACGAGAAAACAGACCAGCAGAGGGTTACCCTACTAGGTTCCTGATTCATTCGCGTCTCATCGGGATCTTATGGTACCTCAGTCTACGAAGCGAAAATGTGTTATCATCCTCACACCCTTCTACTTAGGAGACTTGATAATGATAATAGATCTTCGTTTCATACAGTCAAGCAGTGACACTTGTTCATAGTTTCGATCCATCTCGACTACTCAAACAAAAGAAAAGCCTACAACTGGATCCACCTCGACAGACCGACTCAACAAAGACAACTTCCTAGCTAACTCATTCATTCATATGCATCCCTAGTCGTACTCCTAGCCTACCGGCGGGGTGATACAGTTCCGACAGTGTGTCCCTTCGGTCGGCAGCGGAATTGCAAAGCCTGAAAAGGGGATACGGGGAATCAATCAGAGCGGTGACTGGCTTTGCAAAACCTAACTGTATCTTCAAAAAAAATCTATCATAGAAAGTTAAAGCTTTAACAACAAATCTTAGACTTCAAGAGGATTTAGAATCAGATTCAGATTTAAAGGGGAATAAACTCAGCTACTATTTCTTGATTCAAGATCAAGTCAAAGTAAGACATATGACACATCGTGCTCTTAGCAAACGTTAGCTGCCAAGCTACGGAAGTAAAAATAGTGGTTGTTACCCAAGCACAGTCCCCAAGCAAAGTTAAGCATGTAGTGGTTGTTCCCCAAGCCAAGTTAAGCATGTAGTGGTTGTTACCCAAGCAAAGTTACGTATGTAGTGGCTGTTACCCAAGCAAAGTTACGTATATATATTAGTTATAAATTCAATGACAGACTACATTGTTGTTACCCCTTAGCCCTTTTCTTTTTATCCGCACTTTTTGCTATCCTATAATATATATAATACTAGTTTCACTTTATTGCTTGGGCCAAGCTTATTGATGTTGCTTTTGCCTGCATCTTCGTTTTTCTAGAACACAACTATCACGTCGAGCTACTTTATTATTACTAGTCAACTCCTTTTTGATAAGTCAATATTTTCTGACATGCCTTGTTTCGATCATATTTTCCTGTTTTTGATATTTCTAACGAAGACAGCCGCTGTTTATTGTGTTTTATATTTCAGTGGTCGGTGCCCTTCATAGAAAAAGAAGAAAATCAGCCAAGTACTACTAAAAAACTATGAAGCCTTCACCAGCACGTAGGATCCTTTCGTTGTTAGTAAACTATGAAGCCTTGATCGGGAGGTCGGAACGCTGCCGATACGTCCATGTCAGCCATGAGGCAAATGTAGCGAATGACAGCACGCAAGGATACTGCTCGCAGAAAGTTTGCTCGCCGTTTCTCCGAGAATTAGAGTTGAAAAACGGCACTAACTGTAGATCGACATTGATTAGCGTATAGATTAATCACATAGATTAATAATATAGATTAATAATATAGATTAATAATATAGATTAAGAATATAGATTAATAATATAGATTAAGTTGTAGAAGTTGGAGCCGTAAGACAATAAAAAATGAAGGCTTTCTTGTCAATCAAGAACTTTCTAGAGGAAGAGAGGCTGTAGCCCGAACAGAAAGAATGAGGACTTTCTTGTCAAAAATTAAGAACTTTCTAGACGAGGAGGAGAGATAGCCTCAAGAGTCAACTTTCTAGAGGAAGTCACCTTAAGACAAAGCTTTGAGTTGTCGTCTTCGGCGGCTCTGATCTTCTCCGGGATCTTCCCCGGTTTCGGATCTCTTGCGTCTTCGGATTCGTCGAGCACGACCATTTCGGAGGTGTGGGTAGAAGAAGTCAACTCTTTGCTCCATGAACGTTTGCGAGCGACTCGTGACGGTGGCAACGAAGTGCGGAAAAGCTTCCGACCACTTGGATAGAGGTTAGAGCTCACTACATCAGCTGATCGGATCATCCGCTATAAGATCATAGATAAATACTCTCCTCAGTCAGGAGGATCCCAGTAAATCCGAGTAGAATAAAACTCTCAGTCTTCTAGAGACTCGTCCCAGAATCCTCCAAGTACGATAGAATGCACTGTCAGGCAACTACTTCTTAGTCTTGCTTCACATTCATTCTTTGGAGACAAAAAATTACTATTACATTAGTATGATCAGTGTGATCTTCTTTCTTAAAAAGGAATATGGCAGAGAAAGAGGCGTCCCCATTCGACTCGCTCATTTAATTCTTTCGCTGTGTCTGCTTGCAATTTCTTGCGAATGTCCGCTACGGACAGAGAAGTCAGGTTGCTGGCAGCATCAGAGCGGTTATCTTCATCTTCACCAGGCGTCTCTTCATCTGCACGATCATTTTTACGAGATTTTCGCATCTTCGGAGCCGCAATTATGGTATCGCCGTCTTCATCTTCACGAACCTCGGGAGCAGCAGGAATGTTGCCAATGGCATCGATGTCTTGTTCTTCATCTTCTTCCTCTTCCTCCTCCGGTACACGACCTCCTGCTTCCTTCTTAGCCTCTGCGGCTTCCTCCTGAGGAGTTTTTTCTTCTTTCTCACCCAGAGACGGGCCGCTTGTTGCCAGAGATGGACCGCTTTTTGCCAGAGGCAGCACTGGTTGTAGTGGAGCACCCCTCGCGCGACGTCGTCGTTCTCGTATCACCTGACGAAAGACCTCCACGTCAACGCTTGCTTCGTCCTCGCTTGGTGGGAAGGTCATCGTCGAGTAAGAACCACTTAGTCCATCTTCTTCGTCTGAAACCCAAATACTGACTTTGTATTTCGGTCCTTCTGCTAGTATTCGATGTCCAGGCTCTCGTGGATTTGTTCCAGGACTCTCTATCCCGACACGTAGGAAATCGTGCATCTCGACGGCGAGAATCCTGCAAACCCAGGCCCAGAATGGTGGCTCATCTTCAGATTGGCCCTTCACGAGCTTCCTGTAGCTTCTTTGCAGGAGATCGTAGAGAAAGACCACGGGCTCCTCTCTCCACCGAATAGGTGAACCTGGTTCGGGCTCGGTCTGCGCCCAAAGTAACGCAAAAGCTTCGCCTATTCCGCGAAACCTCTCGCGTAGTAGCTGCTCCTCAGTCGCAGAGCCTTCCTCGTCTTTCTTTCTGTGTCGGTGCGCTCTTTCAACTTCGTCGTAAATTTCTATGAGCCTTTCCACCTTGGCCTCGAGTTCGCGATCCTTATCGGGTTCCGCATCCACAAGAGGGGTTAGACCTCAAAACATCTCATATCATGCGCACACTTCTCCCACTCCTAAGAAGGAAATAGGAAGAAATGCCTCGTAGACATGAATTGTATTGAGCCTTAAAGCGGGACTCATCTGTTTCAATGTTACTGCCGAAAGTGGGTCGCGATCGTTATCGGATTCCGCATCCACAAGAGAGGGATTCATCTGTTTCAATGTTACTGCCGGAAGTGGAAGTTCCGTCACATTTTCATCACTAGAAGACGAGGCTCCTCCCGATCGAACCGCTGCTCCAATTCCATTATTCGCAAACCTTATAGGCCGTAGTGGTAGTTCCCGCGGGTCGTATCTGTCCGCTCTTCGGTGTGGGCTTTCCTCCGTTTCCGCATCCTCGTCGAGGTCCTCCAGGTGCACCTTCCATCCTCGACCAGATCCATGACCAGCAAAAAATGTTTCTTTGATATCACCCACTAAGTGATGCATTCCACGCATGAAATTAGAGCTCAGATGCAGAGGAGATCTTGACGAGATTTAAGATGGAGATCTTGATGATGATGTTTCTCCCTTGAAAATGTCTTTCCTAGGATGTTGACTTCTGCGAATGCGAAAATGGACCAGTGATTAGGGAAAGCCTTAACAAAAGCTAAATCTTCGCCGATTATCGGAGTGCGCTCCCATGCTAGATCTGGAAGTTCTCTGCTTCGTAGTTATTTTGGAGGTTCCCACATTGCGTTCTTCAGAGCATCCCTGATGGTCATGGTCATGTATTTCATGTCTAACCCTCCCTGGTCAAGTTTGAAACAAAACTTATTTTTCCTCTTACAAAAAGCCCAGGATGCAAGTGCAGAATGCAACGTGCGAGCAGCCCTTAATACTTTCAGTCTCGAGCGGCCCACTGAACCCCAGAAAAAGCGTTCAGGATCTCGCTCGAACGCGCCGACTCGTCTCCACTCCTGACTATGGCCTAATTGCACGCGACTAGCCTCAGCAATAGCCTGTTGCCTCTCCGGCTCTAAATAAAGGGCCACGGCCACCTCTCTGTTTACGCTGTCATTAGATGACCTCAACAATATTTTCTTCATCTTGAAACTAAACCCCATCTTCTGTCGAACTATTTTTCCCCAAAAAAATCAAGGGGACGCCCGTCATCGAAGTGTTTCTTTAAGAAGGTGGTGTCAAAGATGCTTCTCAAGATGAATCATCAAAGAAAGAAGCTTTGTTAAGAAGGCGAGTCATGTCATGTGTGCGCCTGAAATGCCTACTCTCAATCATTAGTGAGATGAACGAACCAGTCCCTGAAACACGGTAAAAAGCCTTAAGCTCAATCTCTTGTAGGAAGTTGCCGCGTAGGCCGTGTGCAGCTTGTTCCATTTTTCGTTGCTTGTCACTTATAGAAGAACCGAGCCACTCTGAAAAGATACGCTCTAACAATGCGTCCTGTATTTTCTGTATCTTCTCGAAAGATTCAGTCCCTCCCAAAGACTCACCAGGTATCCCTCGTTCTTGCGGACCTTGTTGGTAGAGAGTGCGAGTGCCCCAGTAGTTAGAGCTCACCCTTATCCATCTACAGCCGCATCTTGGAGCTGCTTCTTTCTGTTTCTCCTCATTAAACTATAACATACTTAGACAACATTATAAATAGCTTTCTCCTATACTAAATATAGATAAGTGCGTAGAAAGGCACTATTATAGACACACATAGAAGGACTACAGAAGCTTGTCCACCTCTGAGTTCCTCTGAACATGCAAATTACAACAATCCATTTGCTTTTGGTGATGCGGACTACAGCCGCCTTCGGATGCTTTTGAAGACGGTGCCAATCTTCAGTAGCACTGTTCCTCTCTTACTGGTGAAGGTTTCTGTACATTAATAATGGATTTGATAGATGGAACAGGAGGAAGGCTTAAGTTGTTTGACGCTTCTGCGATCCACCGATGCGACCGGTTCGTAACCCAAGGCAGTGAATATCAGCTCGTCGATCGTCGACCCACCCATGACGTCTTCCACAATCATATTAGAGGCATAATATATTAATCAGATGTTTTGTACCAAACGTTAGTTTACTTGAGTAGTAGGCATAGGTATAGCTGTCTAGCACATTTATTTGATAGAAGACGTCCTCGGTCTTGTCAAGAACATGTTCATAAAATTAGAAGTTTGTCCGCTCTCGAAATTCTCTTGTCCAGCTGTCGATGCATCTTGTTCTACATCCTGTTCCATTTCAGCGTCCTCTTCGCCGTCGCCCATGTCGTGATCGTCTTCAGGCTGTCCGCCTGTCCTCCTTTCATCCTCGTCTTGCCCAATGTCGTCGTCTGGCTGTCCATCTGTTCCGCCATCATCATCCTCGTCTTCTTCATCGTCGCCTGCCCCACCTGTTCCGCCATCATCATCCTCGTCTTCTTCATCATCCTCCTGGTCAGGGTTTAACGATGACGGTCTGGAGCCAGGAGCCTCTTGCGGCCGACTGTCATCCAGAGCAACTTCTATAGCAGCGAGAGAGGGAATAAAAAACTCTGCGGCGCAGCCTGCAAAACGTGACATTGCATCATACACTCGAGAAGGAGGAAGGTTAGACCTTCCAGGAATCTCCCATTTTGAGACTCATCTTGGACCCGTTTCCCCCTTACCCGGGTGATAAAACTCATGATCTGTCTCCCCCTTACACGGGAGGTCCAAGATGCTTTTCAAAATGGGAGATTTCCGGGGACGTCTTAAGAAGGCGTTCACGTTCTGAGTGGAAGTTTGCCAGGGGACACAATTCTGGACCTTCAAACTGCACTAAGAAACATTTGCTCTTCTCAATTTCTTCAGCCGACAAAAGGGCACAAGACTCCCAACCCTTGGCCATATGCTTTTCAGTCAGTGCAGACAGTGTCAACGTCCCTCGGTTTAGAGCTCAAAATAATCTACTGACACATTCTACTGACGTATTCCCAGTAGGAGTCCAAGGGGTAAATTGAAACTGATAACTTCTTGTGAAGATGAATTATAGTTTGCGCCTTAATCGGTGATCACGAGAAGGGCGGGTTGCAATTTCAGCGCTGGATCTCCCAAAGTCATCCGCGGGGTCGCTGGCTAGGAGACCGCACGTGACGTCTTTACCGCAAGACACGTCTTTACCACAAGCCACGTCTTTGCCACAAGCCACCTCTTTACCGCAAGCCACGTCTTTACCACAAGCCACGTCTTTACTACAAGACACGTCTTTACCGCAAGACACGTCTTTTGAACCAGTATTTTTCTGCATGATCCAGTGCAAGGAAATGTTAGAGCAGATAAATCTAGTTGATATGCTGACCGAGATCATAGAAGTTTATCTTTATCATGTCTACAAAGTAAGAGACGATCCTAGAGATAGTACTAAGCTGTTGATAGCGTATATTAGACCAGAGAAGCGCAAGCATTTCTATTTCAACATCATGGGAGAAAACATGAACAGAGGACCTTCAGCACTTCAGACAACAATACATTCGAAAATCTTACGAGCGAAAGAGCATGCCCATATTTTTGGTAGTGAATACTCAACATCAACTGATAAATAGTTAACAGCATACTTAGGTACACAGATCATAACACTGAGATGACGCTTCCAGGGTCGGAGGGGGCCTGGACTCCTTGCCCTTTTTCGTTTACCAGCAAGGACCTTCTCCGATGTTCTCGCACGCTTAGACGCAGGGGCTTCACCGTACGCTTCACCGAAGGTACTAAGTTCTTCATCCGTTTCTAGTTTGAGCGGGGGTTGAGAGCACTGAGTTTCTTCTTCTTCCTTGCCGAGAGGTAGCTCCTGTTGATCCACCGCGCTGCCTTCTCTGCATGGGGGTCGAGCTTCTTCTTCTTCACACGGACATCGATGTTCTTGTTCCACTCCTTCGTGCAGAACCTCGTCATCCCTCTCGTCGTTGGTCTCGCCCTCTGTGGTTTCGTCCTCGATGTCGTCCGCAATAGTATGATCATCACGAGGGAAACGCTCTTCAGTATACCACTTTTGAAACGTTTTCAGCAACGCTTTTTCTTTTTTCTGTACCCCTTGTTGAACTTGTTGGAAAGCTGTACGTTCCTCTGATGATCCACGACAGCACGCGACGCCCCTGGCACCACGTTCAATCTTCTGTTGGTAAGAACTTTGATTACAAACATAGGATGAGAGAGGACTTCGCCCGATCAGGAGCTGCGGATCCAAATAGTGGACGTTGAGTTCGGAGCCCAAGATTCGCGGATCCACTAGTTTCCCTGTCGCTAGAAAGCTAAAAAATATGCGCGTCAACAGCTGTCGGACACTTTCACTTGCCGGCCATATCAAAAAAGCACGATAGTCGGCCGCAGTGCGTGGAGTCTCTACAGCTTGGTGTTGTCGCTTTTTGCATTTCTTTTTAGCATGACGGAGGTCTCTTGAACGTTTGGCTGGATCCTTCGCATCCTTTGGTTGGCCTACTGCATGATGAATTTGACTTGAGATCAGGCTTGGCTTCATGTTTCGCTGGGCAAAAAAATGATTCCCATTCCCTATAGTTGTCGTAGTTGTTGTATCTGCTCTTTGTTTTCTAGTAGGAGGTGTAATAATCGCAGCGCTCACAGCCTCCAATAGAGACACGGTCGGACCCACAAAGAATCCTAATAAACCGTTGCCCAAGGCCCCTCCTGCTTCTTCAAGCCTATCCCTCTTAGTGGTTGCGCTATTGCATTCTTCAGAACATCCTGGACTTCTGTCCTACTGGGAAACGAGTCAAGAATGGTAGTGCCGAATGCAATGTGGAAACCCGTAACTCGACTATCTTGCGTGGCACCGAATAGCTTGGGCAAATTTCTTGATCTGCTTAGCCTCGTAGAAGTTTCACCATTTTTAATACAACTCGCCACTCCTGCTGCACCAGTGAAGATGCCAGAACTCGTGCTATAATGGATTTCTCCTTGCATAAGAAGTCCACTTTTAGAGGAACTCAACATATGTTGCTGAAGCGGAGGATGGGGGTCCACATCAGGAGGACCAAAAGTGGTACACGAATCGTCGTGGATACCACTAGCACCTGCACTAGGACAACTCTGGTGGATCATCTCAATATCACAACCACGAGGTTCCGGGGGCGACTGCTGTTTTCCGGCTTGGGGTTTGCTAGGGTCACCACTGCGCGCCCTACAGCTTCCGCCGTGCCACAGTAATCTACGTTAGAGCACTAAGCAAGATGTAGTCTACCAGGAACATTCATCCCATGAAGTCTATCATTGGCTAGCATGCCAACGCCTAGACTATACGATGACACCCTGCAGCCTCAAATAATATGAAGTCACGAAGCGCAACGCAAAAAAACTTTGCAACGAGAATAAGCAGGACAAACTCCAAAAGGGTAGATGGTGCTTATTATCAGCGGAGGCCCGACAATAGCCGAGCAGTCCAAAAGAATTGAAGCAGGACTCCAAATCCGTACTAAGCACTATGATCATCGTGAACCTGTCACGGCACAACCACGGCATAACCAACAGGAACTACACTTGGATTACTAGTAGGAGTTGACTGTAATCTAAGTTATAGCTCATTGATCCCTGTCGAGTAGAAGAAGATCCCTCACGTAGCACTAGCATATTATGCAACTTAGAATTAATCTGAATCTTTCTTTTAATGGGATCGATTTATTTACTGTTGTTGTTGAGGGATCCCCAAAGCCAAATGTAGAAATCATGGACTACATTTCCAACATTAGCCTTAACCAAGAGAAATTGGCACTTCGAAGTTGCAAGAGAAGGCTCGTTCCTCGGAAGACTCAGAACTTGGGACATACAGTGTTTCAATCCTTCAAACGACTCTCCTACCTCTCGAAAATGAGCTGGTCCTCGTCCCTGACGATGTGGAGCAGGCACTAGAACTTAGAGAAGTACAACCTACAAGCACAGCCCAAATCCTTTGTAAGATGAACATCTTCTTTTGTGCAGTAATGTTTTCATATCTATAAGTCTTATAAGAGAAAACGGGCTAGTAAAAAGGCGCTATCTATTTCGGGAAATGGGTTGATGCGATTGAACCGTAAGTAGATTCTTGCTGCGCGTCTCTAATAAATGCCTTGAAGAACTTCTCGAAAAAAATTGCGCAGGGCTCAGGTTGTCGAGTTCTTGGTCTTGCGTCTCCCTGATTCGTGACGAATAATTGCATCCGCTTGAAGATGAAATCTGCTAATCCCAAAAATGCATAACTCCGATTTAGAAGATAGAGAGAGAGAGAGAGCTTCGCAGCAAGGTAGAAGAAGGTAAGAGGTAGGAGATTTGCTCCACCCATCTTGGAAGTTTCCTCTTGACTGAACCGTAGGGCGAGAACGTAATGGTCCACACGGCTCAGGAGGATACTCTACGAAAACAGAGTTACGACTCAGGAGGATAGTCTAAGAGGACAAACCCACGACTCAGGATAATAGCCCACGAAAACAAAGCTACGACTCTGACCGATGAATTCAAAGTGAATGATTAAGAGCCTTAATCTATGCAGCTGCAACTGCAGGCACTCTTCCCCAGCTACTAGGCTTTTACGCACCTCATCCAATAAATTGCTGTCAGCATTATGCGCCTCTTTCTTTCTATCCGAATCCACTTTGTCCTCCTCCATGTCGTCCTGGGGGAATTTCAGCATATTCCCACCCTTGAAGACAGGAGTCGGAATCGCTATGGCGAGTCTCGGCTTGTCATGCGGGCACTTTCTACTTAATACTTCCTTTTGTAGGTTCACACGACTCACCTCTTCTCCTTTATTAGAGCTCAAAGCAATTCATTGCTTGTCCGCATTTCTCCCAATCCTAAGAAAGGGAGAGGGAGAAATAACGTGTACAAATGATTTGTATTGAGCCTTACCCTGAACTTTATCATCGACAACTCCTTGAATTGGCATTTCATCGTTCTTGGGTGCTAAAATCTTCTGAGTCGACGAGGACAAAGATTTCTGCTCCTTGAAAAAAAGAGTCTGCAACTCTGATCCCTCCCGAGGACAAACAGAAGCGATGCCGGGATTCACATCGTCGAGGATATAGTCGAGGCCCCTAACACTCGGCACGGTCCAGGACTCTTCTTTTAGACTAAACCGAATATATCGGGCTACTTCTTTCATTGCATACCTGCCTTCTAAGGCTATTCTTCGTTTTTCTAAGCGAATGTAATTATGCTCCTCATGCGACTGTAGTCGATCCATCACTTGCAGGATGATCCAATAAATGGAAATGACTTGTGGAACAAACAGGGAGCAAACTGGTATGTCCTTTGTTGAGCTTTTTAGGAAGTGAGAACCACTCCCGCGGGCTGTGCCGCCGGCAACCAATATATAGCCTTAGTAAGTCCTTTGCGTTTGCCCCCGCCCAAGTTAATGAAGTAGTAGTAAATCTACTCATTCTTAAGCCTCGAGCGAAAATGGGAAACTGAAACAAGCTAGTATACCTATAATTGAGCCTTAAGAGACGTTCCCAAACGGGCCTCCATATCTCTGACGAATGCTCAGGGGCTCGTATGTGTCTCCACTGCTCTGGTGTGTAGTAATCCGCGTGGTCTAGGAATGACAGGAAAAAGTGTACTCATCGATCCTCATTAAATCCTACTAGCTAACTTTCCTGTTCCCCACTAAAAAAAATCTAGAAGTAGCTAATTTCTTGAATACTATGTTGAGTACACTCTAAAGACTGTCTTTTTCCTTTTTTGAGTATGAGTACGAGTATCAGTACACATATATTTTCCTTTCAACATACCAACTTATCCTCACGCAAAAATGAGACGCCACTTTTATCCACCCATCCCAGGCTCTTTTTTACACGTTGGAGAGCCGTTCGTACTGCGTTCGTCTCCAAACCTTGAACAGGGGAACGATCCTCACTTAGAGCTATCGTGGTCGCATCCCTGAGAGGCAAATCCTTGGCTCCATCATTTAAACCCAGTAGAAAAAGAGCCAAGGACGAAGCTGAGGATGCTCCAGAGGTACTTGCCTTAATTTAGTACTCAGCAGCTTCACCAGCATTTCCTGCTCACCTGCTGAGTCATCGTCCAAGGATAAAACTTCTTGCATCCTCTGCTTCAGCTCTTTTTCGTCCTTGTTCAACAGCCTAGAATATGGTTCTACCAGCCTCGAAAATGCCTCATCTAGCGAGATCGAGAAGCGACCGTAACAATTTGACGCTCGTGTGCTGAGATTTTTAACGCTATATTTGTACTAGTAAAGACGCAGCAACTCTGCAGGTGGGTAACTGTGATCTGCGTCTACAGACTAGATACGCTACTGGTCGTTGTATAGCTTTCAATTCGCATTTGCTAGGTAAATAAGTTGGAGTTGCTTTTTTTCCCTCGCTGTCTCTTCCCCTTTTTTATCAAGATATTTCTCAAAAGGACCACCAGACGTAAGCGAAGTAACTCACGATCCCTCGCTGTCTCTTCCCCTTTTTTATCAAGATATTTCTCAAAAGGACCACCAGACGTAAGCGAAGTAACTCACGATCCCTCGCTGTCTCTTCCCCTTTTTTATCAAGATATTTCTTAAAAGGACCACCAGACGTAAGCGAAGTAACTCACGATTAGCTACTTACTTAAGAGTAAGCTACACACCGACCAGAGAGTGAGAGTGAGTGTCTGAGCAGAACTTCTTCATAAGAGGAACCTGCCATTCAGTCGCTAGCCATTGGCCAGCACCTGCAATATTATCCACCAGAGCGGAGGTTATTAGCTTCCCCCTCCGTCTACGACTGCTGCCGCCCGAAGTAGATGTACGACCATTGCGGCGGACCGGCGGCACGACCAGCTTAGGCGTTTTCTTGGCTTCGAAAGGACAGACTGCTGTCAACATTTTAGAGGACGAGCTCTAGAAAGTGCTTCATTTCTAAGGCTCATTTTCTCAGGCTCCTCCTAAGAGGAAAACGAAGAAAACTCAGCTATGGAAATAACTGGCACCTAGGCGTGAGAAAACAGCGTCAGGAAATTAAAGAAGCTTTGAAGCGGAGAACTCAGTGCTTGAATCTGTGCTAAAGAAATCAAATGCATCTATTCTAAGCATCTTCAACCACGTCTATCATTTTTTAGATGGTGGAAATCTTCTACCACTTTGATATTCTAGAAGGTGGGGAGACGAGCCTTAACCGAGGACATTGCTCTACTATTCCCCTTGTTCCCTTCTGGTCCTGGCATGACCATAGCCCCCCAGCCACTAGAGAACAGCTTAACCCCTTTTAGAGTGGCTGCTGCCACCTCATCTCCCAGCTCGTTCGGATTAGAACTACCGCGGTCGCATCTTCCCTGAGAGGCAAATCCTTGGCAGCTCGTTTTTCAAATAGAAAAAGATGAACCAAGGATGATGATATTGAGGAGATGCTCCAGAGGTACTAGCCTTAATCGGCGGAAGCTTCTCAGTCAGATGCTGCAAATACTCAACGGCCCGCCTTCTTCCATTGGCACGATGACGATTGGCACAGGAGCCGTTCAACCCCTGTTCTTGTTTCGCTTCTTCGGAGTAAATGCCCTGTACTAATTGTTCCACCTCAAATAAATGTTGTTTCAAATCATAATGATCTTTACAACGGAAGAGAGGCGCAGGAGTTCGTGTACTATCAACAGCCGGGGGATGTTGGAGTTTAGTAGTAAGTAAAGTCGTTTCTTCAGGTTCAGGAGTAGTCTCTTTAGTTGTCTGTTTTGGTGGTTCTGGATCTTTCATATCATCATCGCTGTGGTCGTCAATCTTAATTGGTGCAACTCCATCTCCGTGCTCATCATCAAAAACCAAAGGATCATCCTTGTCCTTCTCGCGCGCAAGCGCAGTAGCATCGAACATAAGAGGCATGGGTACTGCCAGCAAGAAGTGGGCCAGGGCGTCTATCCGTAAGTGCAGTTTTGCTGCCACACGAGCCGCGCGACGACCTATTAACCAGTCCTGTGCCTTTGAAAAAAACTCTGAGTATGCAAGCATTGCTTGATTGAGAGTCTGTATCAGGAGAAGCGTTTCTTCCCGAGACGAAGTAGGTGACACCTGAGGTAGTGGTGGCACAACAACCTTTGAAAATAGGTCATCCGGAATAAAGGCCGCCCTAATCTTTTTGTTAGAGCTACCGCGTCGCACTCGCATCTTCCTCTTTGAGAGTCATAAATACCACCGATAGACAGTTCTTCTTTTTCCCCTTAAGAAACTCAAGAAAAACCAAGGATCATGGTGTGAAGGACATGCTTCAGCGGTAGCCCTAAGTTCGATTTCCGCTTTTTCTCCATGCTCTTGTTCCTGTTCGATGGCTTCTATCAGTTTGGTGACGACGGACTGCAGCGACTGCACGATCTCCGACGCATGTCGTTCTCGTCCTTTAACTGCGGCTTCTAAAAGTAGTTCGTCCTCATCGCTATTGTCCTCATCGCTATCTGCATCACTGTCCGACTGCTGCATTGGGAATTCTTCATCATCGTGAGACGGATTTTGTGAGGAAGAACTCATTTCAAGTAGCTTGCTGTGAAGATCACGGAGCCGAGTTTCAGCTTTTTCAAGCAAGTCTTTAAACAAGGCTTGATCGCTTTTTGTTGGGTCGCTTCTTGTTCTAGCATAGCCGGCTCCATCCTGCTTCTTTCCGAAAGAACCTCTCTCTCCGCCATATTTTGCCCTTCTCTCCTCCAAAGAACTCTCGCTCTCCGCTTCAGCCATGATTTTCTGCACATCCACACCAAACGCTGCGAAGAAGTCCTTCCGGTATGGGGCGATGAGCTGTGCAGTATCCGAGGCGACGGACCGAGCAAAGTGTTCACCGCTTATCGCTTTCCTTAACTGCTCAGATACGTGGCGCCTCTCTTTGTCTTCATCCATGATCACAAATGTCGCTATTCTTAGAGAGAGAAAGAGATTATAGAAGATGCGGTGTAGAGATCCAGAGAGCGAAAAAAGAGAGAGAAGATGTGGTGTAGTAAGTGGTGTAGTTCATCTTCCTTTTCGATTCTTGCCACGTTCATCTATTGTTGTTCACTTCAGGCATTTTTCCTATAATACCTCTCAAATACTCGTCCCATGTGTAAGAAGGAAACAGAGAAGCAAGTCGAATCTGTATATTAGCTACTTTCTCATCTGTAGAAAAAGACGCGAAAACAGGCGAAGTATCAACATTAGACACCAACATTAGACATACATCAAATATAGCACTAGTCTTCCTTTTCCTTAATTTCTCTGCGCCTTGAAAGATGAATAAATTCCAGAGCTTGTCTAGTCGGGGTTCCACTTCTTCCTGTGCCGTTGTCCGAACCAAGGCAGCACTCTGCTTCAAAGGAAAAACGGAAAATAAGTTCTCCTTTAGAGGCGACGGAGCAGCAGCAGTAGCAGCAGCAGTGGTTGTAGCAGCACTTTGAGGAGTACTTTGAGGAATAGTACTTTGAGGAATAGCCCTTTCAGGGGTTCTTTCGTCGATACTCTGGTCTTTGTAATCTGTAGTATAGAGGTTCAGAACTTTGTTAGCGCTATCGCGAAGGCGAGCAATCGATTCCGCAAGTACTTTTCTAACCTCTTCTTTCAGCCACATGTCACTAGGAGTTTTTTGCAGCCGAGACGATCCATCCGCAGGAGGAGCAAGGCCTTTTTCATCCTCAGTCTTCCGTTTTTTCTTATCCTCTTCCGCCTGGAGGAAACAAGAAGCATTTTTCCGATGAGGTCCAGCTTCTTCGCTCTTCAGTTTCTCTTTACCATCAGCATCTTCGGCTTCCTGCCCGAGGCATCCCGTCGTGTCCATTTTCTCAGGAAATGGACATGACCACAACTCCTCTTTACCAGCATAGTGTGTCCCACTACTTGGTGCACTGCTTCCACCCTTGTGTGTCCCACTAATTTTTGCGCTACCTTGTCTGGAATTCAGCTTTGTAGGCGATACGACCTCCTTACCATTGTGAGGGGTGCTGCTGGATCGCTCATCACATCTACCTTCTTGTTGAAGAGGCCGTTTGGTGGTGATGCGTCGTTTGATAGCATTAAGGAGTCGCTCGCCATCTCCTTTCAGTTCAGTCGACATTCCGATGGAACCGACTGCAGTCGACGAACTAGACGATCCTGCCGCGAAAACGGAGGCCACAGTGAGTGGGATCAAGAGCCGCATCATATTCTTGATCTACTTGAGAAGGTGTAGCAGGACTTGAGATCGTGTGTCGTGGTTGTGACATCATGTTAATGCTAGACACACTTTGTTAGAGGACTACTAAGTAGAAGAGCAGTGTTTTCGACGTATATAACTCTCTATGACGACGACAAGCCGTGGTCCACCGCAGATAGGTATTAGGTGGGATTCCAGGTCAATGGAAAAATCATGCCTCAACATGGATAGTTGTATTTGAGGCATGAAAACTCTAATCAAACGCCCTTATAAAAATGTTATAAATGCCAATGTTTTATCATCAATATGGACCACACCACTTTGATACAGCGGAAGAAAACCATCTTTCGGCTCGAAGCATCATTGTGATGGATCGCGTGGACGCAGCTTAATTAGAAAAGAGATGTGAGGGAAGAAATGTGTCATGGGTCAGCTGCTCCACATGATACTTATAATAAGACGAACCTAACACTTTCTAAGGTCAGTATTTTTATGGAGCGAAATTGTAGTGAGGACTTCCATCAAGTCTCTGAGGCGGCGAGCGGCAAACTTCGTGGTTCAGTGCCTTCGTTCTAAGTGTGATTGTGTGGTTGTGGCTTGTTATTCTACTTATGATGATGTAAATCTACTCGGCAATCTGCCTAAGATTTCCCTGACGAATTCGACCACTGTTATGAAGATACTTATAAGTACTTAAATAGGACCGATGTTCATATCCACAAACTCGTCCTCTGGTGATCCCTACTCCACTTCTGTGGATCACGCCGCACACTTCTTTGGATCACACCAGCTGTGAGAATAAAGTCTCAATCGCAAATCTAGTGCTGAGGAGGGAGGATGTAGTCGTGGACCGTGATCAGGAAGATGTGACCAGGAAGATGCTGATCAGGATTTAGTCTTCGGTTGAGGTGTAGACTGGATTTAGATTTTGAGCATCCTAGTTTCGTCGATCAACCTTTTTTAAGTGCACACTCATGCTGTTCGCAGATAGTCCAAAACACTCATACTTAATATCATTATCTTTTTACAAGCGCATCAGTGAAACAGAAAAAGTAACAAGTAGAAATTTTACAAGCTGCGCGCAGGTAAAAACATTTTCGAAGTATCATAATGTAGCAGAACTTTCGAAGCACTCCATCGTCATGGTGCTCCATATAGTACTACTAGCGCAATGGCGGGACAAATCAGCACATTGTAGTAGAACTTTTCATAGTAGTTCCTTGACGTATCGCGTTTCGCGCTTCTTGTTGCTACACTAATTTCTTGTTCTCATGGCTGCACAAAAGGAGAAACAAGAAACATCCATCACTGATAGGGACCAGTTTCCTACTTAAGAGTAACCACATTTCCTTAATAGTGCTACACAAGAAATTTTTTTCGTATATTGAAACTTTCCTGCGCAAAGACAGCAAAAGCTTAATTCGTTGTATGCGCCATATAGACTTTTTTGAGCTTGTCGCTCTTCTTAAAACATGGGTTGAAGGTGTTCAATTACATGTAATTGGTTAAAAATATCATGCTAGTACGTGGAAGTGCGCCAACGCGTTTGTTACAAGTCCTATACCCACAGGAAACCTCTTTTTCGTCTGCACACGCAAGAAGCTTTTGTGGTACTGAACAAGCAGTATCTAGAAGTGGCCGTCTTCTCTATTTATCAAGCTACAAAGTAGAAACAGGTCGGTCCTCCAGAGTGCATAGCGTCCAGCACGTCGCTTTATTTCATCCGCAACCAGGAATGACTCCAGAGTGCATAGCGTCCAGCACGTCGCTTTATTTCATCCGCGACGCCTCCAGCCACTAACACCAGACTCGAATCTTTTGCTCCAGCGAGCGAAGGCGAATTCTAGTCGCGCAGGATTAGAGGAGATCCTTCCTTATCGTAGGATACAGACGGATTAAACAGACCATAATTTTTTGACTAAAGTAGATCTCCAATATTTTCAGCAAACAAATCAAGAATTCCATTAGTTTTTCTTATCTCTGTGAGCATGTACGGAAACTTACACACTCATATGAATGTCCAAGTTGTTCTCATCAAGAAATAAGCGGTCGCCATAAAAACGGCAAAATCTTCCCCTCTCGATGCACAAAGCGCCATCTCCGCATGTAGTAGACGAAAATGTCGCTCAGGCTTTGTCGCTTTAAGTGCTCCTCGGAGTACGGTGGAAGGAGGGGCTTGAGATTAGAAGCTATCTATTTATCATTGTAATCGAATCAAGTATTGCTCAGGATACTTTTCTGCTGGACATGCTGCCGTTGTCATGGCAACACATTGCGGCTATCAAGCTGCGTGAGTAGGCATGGGCTGTGTAAGTCTTCTTAGGATGTATGATCTATGACATTCCTAGTCCAGAGAATCATAGATGGCTCAGTGTAGGGCATTCCAAATAAAAGGCATAACGTAAGCTACCTAGCTAGAAGGATTAGGAATATCATACGGATAAGCCGTCTTTCATCATACTTAGATGTCCAGAAATTCATACTTAGATGGCTCCATGTAAGGAAACCTAAGCCATCTTCTTGAAATTCAGAATAAATATATTTAAGCACTCACTGCCGCGTGGTACCTACCTAGGAATACCACAAACACAAGCAGTGGCCCTTCATCATAATATAAGCACTCTCTGCTCTTGCCCCAGCAGCATTCTTCGATGCTAAACAGGCGGCGTCCTCCTCTACGATATTCTGTGCCCAGTCTGGATTCCCAATGCTCGCGCGCGCAGATCCCACCAAGTCCGCGCCCTGGGTCTGCATTGCCAGTAGGCAGTCATCCCGGGTCCAGATGCGCCCAGTGGTGATGACTGGAGGCAAATTATCGATGCCGCGAGTAAAATGCTCCGTCAGAGTCATCGTCCTACCATTATTTCGTGATTTTCGGCTGATGTGGTCTTAGCGGAGGTTATCTTACTATCCAGGATGCAAATTTGATCCCAAGCTCAACGAGTTATTGTTGTTAGTCTTACTAGTAGGTACTGCGGTCGTAACCTGCCTCCAGTATATCCCTAACTGGAAAAGAAAATTGATGTTGAGTAGGTACTACAGTAATAAGAAAATCGGTTAGCGCCTAACGAGGAAGAAGAGCAACACGGAAAGTAATCACTAAAGTGAAAAACACAACGAAACGTCTTCCAAAATTATAAAATAATACTTAGAGCAAACCTCTAAGCTATCATCTGCCTTAAGATGAGTTCATCTGTGGGGAGACTTCTTCGAGTGTGCTTTCCACCCGTATGTCCCAGCAGGATACATGTAAGAAATCGATCTCCAAGTCGCGTAGTCATTTTTAGAGCTTGTTTACTTGCGTTACACGTCGAGGAGTCCTACTTATTCTTGTACCCAAACAAGAGCGAGTGTCTTGTTCTAGTCCCACTTCGATTTTGAACCAAAAAAGCCAAACTATGTAGAGGCTCATCTCAAGATGGTGAACTAGGGCTCAACCAGAGAGCTTCATCTCAAGACGAAGCAGGGCTTGAGCGTCCATGTAGAAAACTAGTATGTATTAGTATTCTAGATAGACGCTCATCTCGAGAAACCTAAGGCAAAGCTTACCTAACCTTAAGAAAGACCTAGGACAAGCCTTAACTTCTAGCCAATTCCAGGCTGTCCTCTAATCTCACTCCGCAGTTTCGCTCTGGAGAAATGCGAACTCCTATGAGAAAAGGCCGCGTCCAGTGCTGTGATCTTTGGCGTGTATTAGAACAAGGTGCATATTTGCAATAATCATACTTCATTGCTGTAAATGAACATAATTTGTAATAACAGGCGAATCATTTGGGTTGGTCAGAAAATTCAGAGTCGGCTACAAGAACCAGTCATAAGTATAGCATGGCAATATTTCAAACAGAATAAAGCACTTAAGAATGGCATTTGTGATTTCAGTCATAAGTATCTGTGTCAAACAGAATAAAGCGAGAACCAGTCATAAGTATGGCATTAATGAGTTAAAGTACAAGTCATAAGTATAGCATGAATGATTTCGATGAGGAAACGGAACCTCTTTTCCCGCGTCCCTCCGAATTCGTCGGTCCGAAAATTGGTTTCTGGACCCAGGAACTGACCACGTTAGAGCATCACCTTCCACGAACATGATTCTTGATTCTTGAATAGAATGTAGTAGTCTACCTATTTTTCACTTCAGTTGTTGCTCACCATAAGGAGAGTAGCATGATCCTTGAATAATAGCAGTAGTGATAACAAGGGTGCAGTCCTTGACAAGTTCTACTTTAACTGCCTTACTAGCACTTGACGTTCTTATTACTTGCCATACTTGATCAAATACCCATGAGCCCCATGAAGCTCAACACCGTCAAAACCGGCATCGTAGACGCGTTGCGTTGCTGCAGCAAAAGCTTCGACCAAATTCCAAACCTCTTGATTGCTCAGTTCACGGGATGGGAGTTAGCGGAATAAGGGGTAGAGAGAGAGAGAGAGGGAGGTCAGGGTAGAGAGAAAGAGCTTGAGAAAGAGGGAGAGGGGTAAAAAGGGAGAGAATGAATCCATCAACCTGTCCATCCAGTAAATGTCGCCAGCGACGAGTTCTGAAACTCGTAAACCCTTCCCAGTTTTTTTATTGTGACTACAAAGCAAAGCCTTTTTCTGACGAAAGTCATAAGAAAAGTTGTATTTTGATGAGGCTAAATGCTCGCCTACTTGCAGTGGGCCACTCGGGCTCTTCGGCTGCTCTCCTGTAAGCGACTCAGGTGCCTGCAGACCTGCGGATGATTAGCGACACAGGCCATTTGCTCATGTGGATTAAGCAGAGAGAAAAGATGATGAAAGACATCACGAAATCCTTGTACCTCTTTTTAAGCGCATCTTAGCAAAAATCAAGAATTCACATGTCCTTCACTAACAAGTTGTAATGCTGTATCACTACTCTGTATATCACATTCGTAGATCGATGTCACCTCTCTGTGCATTTACTTCCTGCTTCGATGATTTTCGCTTTCTTTCGGTGTATCAGTACAACATCTAATTGGTCTTAATGAAAGATCTGCGCGAGAGAGAGCGCGCCGCACCTTCGCAGCTCATTCGCCAGGAAACGCAAATTCGGAATAAACTTGTCCTCGAAGACGCCCAACTCACCAGGGAAGCCCTGTCCGTCTCTTGTCACGTGTGCACAAGCCGTGGTCACGATACCAAAGCCGCCTTCAGCTCGCCGTACTAAAAAATCGATTTCCTCTGTTGTATGAACAGACTCCTAGCGGTCAGAGAGAAGATTTCCTCGACTCTAATATACAGTAGGTAGAAGATTTCCTCTTCTCTATGAACAATAAACAGTAGAGAGAAGAGACTCAATCGTCCTAGGCAGTGGGGCATCACTACTAGTCTAAATCTAAGAAGTTGGTTGACGAGGTAAAAAATGTTAGAGGTTGAGGCAAAAAAGGCAAGCAGTTGAGTTATTGAAGCATTGATGGGTTGATAATTATAGTTTCAAGTATAGATAAAAGATATCGTGGATCGTTTGCTAGATAGAGAGGTTGCTTGATGGTGGATCTTGATCTTCTAGATTCTGCTAATGGTAATGGTGGAGAGAGCCTACCTACGAAACCCAAAAAGAAAAAGAAGTAGAAATGCTAATGGTCATAATTTGACAGCGTTCCATCTGGAAAGGACTGGCGGTTTGTCATGGCCGCTAGAACGGTACGGTTGCGGGAGACCAACCCGGTCCTCGGAAACCGGAACGCCATGGACGGCGACTGCGCTGCACCACTCTGCAACATTTTTCCTCTTCTTGCAGATAACGATGTAGATTAAAGACAACTACGGGACAACTGATCAACTTTCATACCAGACAACTGATCAACTTTGATTCTAAGCTATAGCTATTAGTGTGTGAGTGTGAAGCAAGTTATCAAGGTGCAATGAGACATCGCCCTAGAGTTAATAAAGTAAATGTGACTCGGGCAAATCAAAAAGAATGCAACTCAAGTTATCAAGGTGGAATCATTTTCGGGACGGGGGTGAAGTGAGTCCGACGAGTATTAGAGCTGTCCAACGAGTATTAGGCACAAGGGAGAGGGCGGACTTTGGTAGAAAGACAGTGAGCATTAGTCTTCGGTAGTAAAGTTGTACGCTTACACATTTTCAGCTTCCAGCACATCAATTTGAACACCTATTACGCAAGACCTTTAATCCCGTCATTAAGAATGTCTAAGAGAAGAAGTTTAAGACGAGAAAGATGTTGCTAATTGCCTTAAGAGGTGGAAGACTTACTTACTGAATACTTTGCGTCGCAGATGATGATATACCCAAAGCTCGTTGTATATGCTGGTCTGACACCTCACAGCACTTCTGGAACACTAGTATTGAATTCAAAAACATCTGCTTTTTTTCGATGAGTCGTCATTTTCATCTGGCCATCACTCAATGAGCCCTATTCATCTGGCTGACACTGAGTACTGTGCTGAGAAATTATCTCGTTAGGACGAATGAACCCCAATGGTATCACTATCAATGAACCCTAATAATCTTGTTGACATGAACCACCTTAGAGTTCTCGTTCTCAAAGAAGCTTACGCAGAATCTCGCGCAAAGCCCTGTCTATTTTCGGCGTTGGGGAATCTCGTTCACTGAGCAGCCCAAGAAGCTCAACATGCACCCGTGAATATCATGGAGCAAAAAAGTAGGACGATATAAAAGTCATTCTTAACCCAGTTGTGCCAATCTTCGTCACATCATCGGTCTCACCACAATCACCATCGCCATCAGTTCCAGGGCGTCGGTACAAAAATTGGCCACCGCTATTTGCCGGCAGATGGAACGAATCAACATCCTCTACGAAGACGAACCTTTGGAAGGGTATGCTCGTTGGAGGAGTAAGACGAGGGATAGCCTGCCGAAGCTTATGTTTAGACGACGACCAGCCTAAGCATATGCTTCAAAGTTCGAACAGAAATCATATGCGAGTACCCGGCCAGTGTTCGCAGCAGTAGTGGCTAATCCGATCGCCGCTTTTTTCCTTTGTTTTCTTTACGATGTGGCCCACAGTGTGCAAAAAGCCCAGGCTGTTCTCGGCGGAAGCCACAGGAAGCCCGTCCGCAAGTTGTCGACCTATTGGCAGAGGTGAGCAGAGAACGGAACCCGCAAAGCCGGCCCTTCTCTTGGTTTTCTTAAAGCGGTGCCCCACAGCGTGAAGGGAGCCCAGCTCCTTTGGGCGCAAGCCACAGAGAGCCCGCACGCACATTGTCGACCTATCGCGAGAGGGATCGCACGGCCACCGACTTATCGCCCGAAGAGCGCAGCAGGAGGGCCACCAGGAGGCGGGGGAATCTATGGGGCCGCCGGTGCCGTTTGGTGAGAGAGTGGACGGAAATTCCCACGAGCTCCCCAAGAGGGAGGCGGCCGCCACTAGTTGATGGGGGGGAATCTAGTGGGGCTTCAGTGGTTCCCGTGGGACAAGCGGGCGCCACTTTCCAAAGGGAAACGGAGTCCCCACTAGACTTCCCACGCTCCTCTAGAGGGGGCTACGCATTCCTTAACTAAGGGAGGGGGCCGCGCTAAAAGCCATCCGCGCTTGCACCCGGACGGGGAGCAGGGGCCCCCAAGGAGATATAGGCCGGTGGGGCGAGCAGATGGGCGGCAAGCGGCGGCCTTTTTGTGTACGCCCACCCGACAAACCGCCCCCGCAAAGCCCCCCAGCACGCGCGGAGCATGTTCAGCCTCACTGCGGTCTCTTTGCGGTCTAGTGCTACGCGCACCGCCTTAGCAGGAGGCGGGCTGCTTCCCTACCCTTGCGGCCCCGAAGAGCAAGTGGCACGTGCGCGCCCCACAGCTTGCAGCGGCTGCTTCTCGCTTCCGAAAGCAAGTGGGGCGCCGCCCTGGAGGACGGCGCGCCAAGGGGGGCGGCCTCCAACAGGCGGGCGCGCCTTTTCCTAGGGGAGGGCAGGGGCTACACCACCCGCAAGAGGGGTTTGGGGTTTGGTTTGGGGTTTGGTTTGGGGTTTGGTTTGGGGTTTGGTTTGGGGTTTGGTTTGGGGTTTGGTTTGGGGTTTGGTTTGGGGTTTG